TCGGTTTCGGTCAGAATAAAAAATCATATTTCGAAATGTTATAAGATAACGAAAAAATAAAAATAAACCCCTTAGAGATATGACTTCGGACTACATTTGAAAAAATATTGGAGTATTGGAGGTTCATATAACTGATGGGTTATTCAGAAGTTGTTGTACCTTTGTGACGCTGATGATTTTGTTTTTGAGCCGAAGTGATTCTTTATAAATAAATAAATATGTATTTACATTAATAACTAACTAATCTTATATGTTTAAACGAGCAATTCTCTGTCAGTTAGTTTAGCTGTTAGTTAGTTTAACTGTCAGTAAGTTTAACTGTCCGTTTGTTTAACTGTCAGTTTGTTAAACTATCAGTAAGTTTAACAGTCAGTTTGATTTACTGTCAGTAACGTTAACTGTCAGTTAGATTGACTGTCAGTTTGATTTACGTCTAGTAAGATTAACTGTCAGTTATTTTAACGAGCAGTTACTTAAGCTGTCAGTTTGCATAACCTCCAGTTAGTTTAACTGCCAGTAAGTTTAACTGTCAGTAAATCTAACTGTCATTTAGATTAACAGTAAGTTACATTAACGGCTAGTTAGTTTAACTGTCAGTTTGTTTAATAGTCGGTGAACTTTATAATCAGTTAGTTTAACTCTTAGTTTGATTAACTACCAGTTAGTTTAACTGTTAGTTTGATAAATTGCTAGTTAGTTTAACTGTTAGTTTGATTAACTGCTAGTTAGTTTAACAGGCGTGTCTTCTTCTAATTTCTTCTTCGCCTATCTTCTGTGTTTCTTTTAATGTTTCTTCTCTTCTCTTTTATCCATCAAATGATATATTTGTTACTAGCGGCTCCCCTAGCTTCGCTGGGGTTTCTAGACAAACAACAACAAATCTATCCCACGCCAACCGTACATTTTTTCGGGATAAAAAATAGCCTATTAGTAATTCTGATGTATGAACTAATACAGTTTCATTAAAATCCAATTAGTAGTTTTTGTGTACTAAGCTGAATAAGTTACTATAGATTTTTAACTATCCCACGGGAGCTCTCTTATTTTCCGGGATGAAAAGAATCTAAAATGTTGCCCGGGGATATAAGGTACCACCATGCAAAATTCCATTTAAATCGGTCTAACAGTTTCGGAGATTAGCCCGTACAAACAGAAAAACAGACAGAAAAACAAAAACATTGAAAAAATCTGGATTTGTTCTATTTCTCTTCTAACATCCCCCTGACTTGGTTTTTAGTATATTTTTTCTATGTACAGACATTCGACCTCTACAGTTTTATTACATGTATAAATAATATCTTTAATACTTTAATACTTTATTTTGTAGTCTGAACGCGGGCAAAATTGGTTGTTCTGCTAGTAATTAATATGTTAAAAATTTAATTCAGTTCATTTGGCAGATTCATTTTCAATGTGCTCTAAGATCGTGGCAGACACGAGATCTGTGGATTTTTTTTCGTTATCTTTTTTTTGTAACGTTGGGAAATGCGTTTTGGCACACCATCTGAATACTAAATACCATCTATATACTGAAATCGAACCTCCCCCGTCTTAATGGGGCGTCGCAGGATCGCTCACACAGTCAACCACGACGCCCCGACAGCAAGTCTGCCGAAAGAGACCACAACAACGATGGAGTTGCTTCAAAAGTCTACTCTGCTACCAGAGAAGTACCAGGAGCAACGCGCAAGGCACACTCCTCACACAGGCCTCCTCCCAATCCGTTTCTTGGCTTCGCGCCCGGCTGAATTGCCGCTACGAAGATTGGACGCTAATGAGACTCCTCCCAACCACGACAAGGTGAACGCACATTTGGGAGAATTAGCCCCCTAGATCATGTATCATAGAGGCCATTTGCGGGATGTGTTATTCCATACATAACCCTATACGAGTATACCTTGTATTTTGATTAAAAAACAAATAAAATAAAAAAACAAACTGTGATTTCTATTTAATTTAAATCTTGCGTGAATTTTGGCACACCCCTATATATACGGACAAATAGATGGAGCCATGTAAATTTTAACATCTACATATAAGAAATGTAAACTTATGAATGCTTGTTAAAAGATTTAAACAGGCGTTAGTGATTATTAGAAGCACGCGAACTTTCTAAATGTAATGGATCGTCAAATTTATCGCAAAAGGTTTTCTATCTAGTTAAAGGGTCGCACTTTTTAGTATTATAATAAACTAGCAGTACCCGCGGCTTCGCTCGCGCTAAAACTACGAAAAAATCTCTATAAAAGTAGCTTCATACAAAGTTTTATCCAATATTTTACCCCGTTATAGGATGAATTTCGAAAAATTCTAAAACACGTATTTATTTAATTTTATTGAAGAGCATTAATACCTAGTTTTAAGTAATTCTGATCATAAATATTTTTTTGGATTGTATTATAAAATGTTTTCCCGTAGGAATAAGATAAACTCCCGTAGTAAAAAGTAGCCTATGTCACTCTCCAGCCCTCCAACTATCTCCACACAAAAAATTACGCTAATCCGTCACTCCGTTTCGAAGAAAGACAAACAAACAAACACACTTTTACATATTTTATAATATTAGTATGGATAGTTACTTAAAAAAAAAAAATTATGAAGACGCTGCAAAATATTAAATAAAATACTACGCATCGTATCTATACTGTGTAGTGTTCCATATGAAAGGTCTATTTATCCGATTGTGCGACACAAAGGAGGGTAATACGTTTTTCAGAATATGTTTGTATGTTTGTTTGTTTGTTTGTTTGTTTGTTCGTTTATTCGTGCCTTTGTTTGTTTTTTGTGTGAACGCGCTAATCTCATGAACTACAAATCCGATTTGAAAAATTCTTTTTGTTAATACAAAAAGAATTTTTCAAATCGGATTTGTATTATTATTAGCCCGATTATTGAGGAAGGCTGTAAACTATATATCATCATGCTACTACCCAAGGGAGTGGAGCAGTAATCATAAATATCAACAAATCGGGCGGACATCCATATATTACTGTAAAATTATATACATATATTCTATAAATACGACGAACCAGAGCAAAGCGAGGGTAAATCGCTGTATGACATAAATAAAGCCAAAGAGTTTTTGTAGACTGAACGCGGACGAAACCGCTGACTCTGCTAGTCGTTGATATTTCCATATGCCAATTTTATTTTCAGCACGTTGAAGGAATACAATCAACATTTTTCCAGCCAAGTCCTCCAACCCTTGATTTGAACACAATGATTGCCTAAGACCTGATGGGGTATCACTATCACAATGTGGAAAAGAATCGTGCCCAGCAGAAGTTAAAAGATTCACTACGGTCAGCTGGTAACTCGTGAGTCGCGTCGTGCAATAATGAACTATTTATGTCATAGGTATAGTGGGTAGTACTGGCTTTTCTAGCCAGTGAGTCCCACATAACCACCTGTATGTCTACAGGTGGTATGCGTAAATGCATTTCCCAACATTAAAAAAATAAATAAATTATACAGACGAAGACATCGGATCCGACTGCATCCTTTGTGAACTTGTTTTCATCTTTTTAGTTACCTTCATTCAGTCGGTTTTTTTTATAATATATTTTTTATTTACAGCTTTTTAATTTTTGCCAATTAGACACTTGAAATAATATTAAGCAATTTTTAATCCATTATCCTAAATTACCTTTAAACATATAAATTGTATATATTTTTGGAAGATTTTTTTTTAAGATACACAAATTGGCGCCTGATATCCGCCATTTTAATTTTTTACTATTTTTATATAGCCTCTGACACTCGCATTATAAAGGCGAATCTAATGACGTATGAATAATCAAAATCGGCCCTTGCCTTTGATCTCTAAAGTGCCACAAGGCAAACAAACAAACAAACAAACAAACAAACATACATACATACAAACATATTCTGATAAACATATTACCCTCCTTTGCGACGCATAATCGGGTAAATAGGCCTTTCCTATGGAACGCAACTAGGCTCGAACTTCATCTCTATGTATTAAGGTGCTATTTACTATTTGCTAGCTATTTTAACGTACATGTAACTAAAATATATTAGTAAAGTACGATTATTATTATTAAAGTTCGTTTAAACGTCATCTTCTTATGAATTACTCAAAAACTTCTTATGAATTATTAAAATACGCGTTCAAGCATACGAAGTTGAATATTAAATGCTACCAAAGTATAACACTATCAGATCATACGATACCAACGTAGTAAAAGTAACTTTTATACATTTTATGAACACGTAGATACCTAAATTTTACGAAAAAGTACTTAAATAAAAACTTCCCAGATCACAAATTATTAAAAATAATAATTATAGTGTGTGTTTTAATATAAGATTTAGTACTAATATTAATAAAAGAATTGAATAAGAAAATGTTATAGAGTCAGATGTAGGTGAATTCAGATATAGATGTAACTCTAGAATAACTTATTTCTAAAAACTTTTTCAATAACAGATATTGAACAACATATGAGATGTTTTTGTGATCTAGATCTAAGCGAAGGAAGGGAAAACGAAAACATAAATTAAATTATGCATTAAAAAAACAATAATAAGTAAAAAAATTTAATTATTTATGAATCCTTACGCTACTTAAAATTTTCAAATACTTGCCAACATGTTATGTGATTAATATATTTAATATGTACTTCAAATACTGCTGTATAAAATTTTATATAGTTTTAATACTATTTGTTACATTATGTGAATAAATCAAACTAATAAAATTAGATGAATATACAGATTATGTTTAATTAACTTAAGAAATATAAATAAATAACTTAATATTTTTAATTTAAAGTAATTCTAATCTAAAAGTTTACTTATTATATAATTTAACAGAAAGGCTACAAAATATCAATTAGTTTTGATGTTTCATCCAAAAACTCTTTTAAAACGTAATATTTGGATTCTATTTTCAAAACAGTGCGACAATAACGCATGTTAAAAAAAACTTCCGATATAAATAATTTAGACAATCTATATGTAATGATCTGATTTTTTTACTTCTTAGGATCTCTATAAACTCCCATGAAAAGAACAGAGTTTGTGGGACGCTCATATACGATGTAGACGAAGGGGAAGTTGGCAATAAACACACTAGGTTCAGCGGGGCGGGAGGAACGGAAACCAAATATCGCGGTCGCAGCCGCTGCTACAGTACCTGCAAAAAATATTAACAATATACTTATATTATAAAGAATATAGATAGAAACTCTAAGAAAGTTTTGAAAGTGTTGAAAGTTCATTTTTTTGTAAAAGGGCTGATAACATTAAATTGTACACTAGATAGATATTTATACTATATAATAAAATAGTAAATAACGTTCCTTTGGGTATCGCCACAGACCGATAAAAAGCGAAAACTGTACATGGATTTTTTAAAAAATGAAATATTTTTTAAATATTTCATGTACATATTTCGCTTTCCGCAAACAAATATACATACAAACAGGCATACAGACCAACAGACATATACACAAGCAAACAGAAATTTCAACAACTATTGTTTTGGGTGTTATTCTGTACACAAAACGTAAGAGTAATTGTTTTAAAAAAATATTTTATGTACGGATTTCACTTTTTTACTACTTTATCATATGTAGATTCTAATTTCTATACATAGACCTCGTATAAAACAAAGCCGCTGTCTGTTTCTCAGCTCACTTTGACTTTTTTAGAACCAAAAAACAGATTTTGATAGAGTTTTTACTAAGAGAAAGCGATAAAGGAGAAAGGTTTGCGTATATAATTTGACAATGTACTAGACAAATAAATGCCTACATAAAATTCCACGATAGCATATGTGTATCTCCTAAGGTACACTCGCAATAACTTGTTTTTATCTATTGAAAACGAAACAACATCATCCCTGTGAAGCGAAGATAAATCGCTAGTTCATATATTAATAAACGCTTTAAAGTTACAAAATTCAGCTAGTATGTTCTTTTGATTTATAGGCAGATTCATTTCCAGACATTCTTCTCTCTCTCTCTCTCTCTCTCCTGTGCATTTATTATTCCCATCTGATGGTGGGGTCTGCCTTCCTAGTGTTATGCTTCCACTTCGCTCCATCAGACGTATCGTTTTCAGTAACGTTGCAGGAACTAAGATCTTTTCTGACCACATCTGTCCATTTCGTTTTAGGTCGCCCTTTGGGTCTTGACCCTGTAACGTTAAGATTGGCCGCTACATTTCCTATGTACTCTGGAGGTCTTCTTCTGATGTGTCCAAGCCAGCGAAGCCTACTTTCTTGGAGCTTATCGGCGATGTCACGTACTCCCAGACCACCACGAACGTATTCGTTGCGGATTTTGTCACTTCTGGTCACTCCGCACATCCACCGAAGCATCTTCATTTCAGCAACTTGCATGGACCGGATATGGCGAGAAGTCAAGGCCCACGTTTCGCTACCATAGGTGAGGACTGGTCTGATAATACTTTTATATATAAGTCCCTTGAGTTTCACTGTCATTCTTTGGTCGCAGGTTACACCGGTTACTTCTCGCCATTTTAGCCAAGCTGCCGCAATTCGATGTTGAATGTTTGTGTCCAAATTTCCTGTATTATGCAACATAGTACCCAAATATTTATATTCGTCACATTTCGCAACTTGCTGCCCTTCGATGACAATAGAGCTATTCTGTGAGTCTGGGTCGTTACACACCATGTATTGGGTTTTAGAGACACTCAACATTAGACCGCCTTTTAGTAACTGCTGTTTCCATTCTCCAAGTGCATATTCCAGCTCATCTCGGGACGTTGTGCAGATAGCTACATCGTCAGCATATATAAATGTCCACGGCGTCAGGGTTTGGGCATTCTCAGTTAGGGCATCCATCACCAAACAGAATAAATACGGACTGAGTACTGAGCCTTGATGCACTCCCTCAGTCACCGCTATTGGTTTTGTCTGACCCACTGTAGTTCTAATTACGGATGTTACGTCCCTGTACATGTCAGCAATGATTTCCACATACCTTTCTGGGATATTTTTCTTACGAAGACTCCACCAGATTGTCGGACGAGGTACGCGGTCAAATGCCTTTTCCATATCCAGGAAGGCCATATATAGCGGTTTATTCTTAGCTCTAAATTCCTGGGAGATCATGCTGATGGCAAACATCGGGTCGATTGTGGATAAGCCGGGGACAAATCCATACTGGCTGTTAGATAACGAGCTCTCTAATCTAAGCCGGGCGTCAATAACTCGTTCGTATAGCTTCATCGTGTGGCTCATTAGTTTTATCGCACGGTAGTTATTGCACTCATACCTACTGCCCTTCCCTTTGTAGAGGGGTCGATGGTACTTAATCTCCACGCGTCCGGTATTCGTGAAGATTCCATAATTTTTATAAATAGGTGTGTAATAATATAAATACCCTTGTCTCCTAGGCATTTCCATGCTTCCACAGGTATTCCATCAGGTCCTGGGGACTTTTTGTTAGCCATCTTTTTAAGTGCAGCTTCTATTTCCTGAGGTGTTATCGGTTGTATTAGGCCTAAATTTTTGCTCATCTCAGGAAGAGTAAGAGATCTAGTTGTTGTATTTAGGAGTTTCTCATAGTAAGCGTGCCATGCTGCTAAGATGTCTTCGTCTGAATACCTCATTGCCCCGTCACAACCTTTGATGAGCCTTGTTTTCACTGGATCTTCTGATGCCTTACTACGAGACTTAGAGAGTTTAAATATTTCCTTTTGTCCCTCTCTACTTTCCAGTGTGTTGTATAAAGATCCCAAGACTTTTTTCCTTTCAATGGCTACAGTTTTCTTTGCCCTTTTCTTTGCTGTTTTATACACATCTCTATCTTTCTGTGACCTTGTGGACTGCCAGATTTTGAATGTTCTTTTCTTTTCTTGTAAAGCTATTTGCACTGTAGGATTCCACCACCAGGTTTCCCTCGATGACTTTTTACCTGGTTTAGTGCGGCCTAGGATCCTGTTTGCTGCCTTCATTATCTGTGCATATGCTTGTTGCCACATCAAGTTCACGTCAACATCCATACTTATAGTCATGTCTTCCATATCTTGTCTAAACTCCTCAGCCTTGTCACCTTTTAGAAGCCACCATTTGGTAATCTCTGGTACTTTTTGAGGTTTGGAGGCAGATTTCTGATGAAAAATCATATCCATGACTACAATACGATGTTGTGAGATGGCACATTCACCTGGGATCACCTTGCAGTTCTTTATTCGACCAATATTTGCTCTGTTCGTTAATATGTAGACTATCTGTGTACTATGACGGCCACTTTTGTATGTAATGAGATGTTCTGGTTAACGATGACCAGGTTGTGAGCCATAGCGGTTGATAAGATTACTTTTCCAGCCTCATTTATGGATCCATAAGCGTATCCCTCGTGTACTCGGTTGAATGCAGCACAGTTTTTGCCTATGTGTCCATTAAGGTCTCCACCAATGACAAGCGTTTCTCCGTTTTGTAACTGTTGTAGTACGTCATCAAATGTCGACCAGAAAGCATCCTTTTCAAACTCCCTACACCCCCCTTGAGGTGCCTAGACGGATAAGATGTTAACAATCTCTCCTTCGATTAGTACCTTCACATACATGATGCGGTCATTTATTCGCTGTACCTCAATTATATCGTCTAGATGTTCACGACTAACCACTATAGCTACTCCATTACGTCCTTCCTTTGACCCAGAGTACATCATCTTATATCCTTCACCGATGTTTCGTGATTTAGACCCACGCCATTTTGTTTCCTGCAGGCAGGCGAAGTCAGTTCTCCTCCTATGGAATAGTTCTGCAAGTTCCTTCGTTCTTCCAGTTAGTGAACCAACATTCAATGTTGCGAAGCGGACTTTCAAGTTTTTCCGCGGGACTAGCGTCTTTAACCGAGCCCGTCCGTGACTCGGTAGCCCTCGTATACTTGTCGCAGATTTAGGGCGATGTCTCTGCGCGTCGTTTTGTGGCGACGCCCTATCCGATGCACGCTCTTTTGAAACTTGACTATTCATACTTTTCTATTTAAAGTGACGATTTGGGTTTATTATTCCAGTGCCGATTGCCATCTGACGCACAAAAACCTGTCTTTTAAGACAGGAAAACCCCACGGAAAGGGTTAGTGGATTCCGTTGCACAGGTATTTACTCTGTGTTAAGCGTTGTCTGGTTATACCGCCAGATACCCGGTCGCCAGAGCCTCGTCCGTTGTCTAGCAGGGAGCACCGCGGCAGCCTATTGGCCACCGCCGCCATCCGGCGCGTGCAGGTGAGGATGACATTTGGGTCGGATAAGATCTTTTTTCCGCTCCCCCCTTACTCCCCAGACATTCTTCATGAATATTAAATTTATAACTACAGTAATATAAGAAATAGAATTGAGAATTTCAATTTTATTAGAAGTTTGGACTAAAATCATACATTAGTCAAAATAACAATTTCAGGGCTATTACACGCAGAATTATCAAAATTCAAAAATGAAATATTTAAGTCACCTACATGAAGAACAATCAGATACTGTAATGTTAATTTATGATATACTCGTACGAGTGCACTGTATTTTGACATTCAAAATACTCCAATGTTTACATACCTTCCTCATCGACCTGTATTTTTGCTTTGTGTACGGCGTCATCAAATAATATACCAGGGTCATTTGAAAGAGTGCTAAAATCAGATGAAGCATTGAACAAGTCCCCAACACCAATGATATCTAAGATCTGTAAAAGAAATACAGGTTAATGAATATTACGTAAAATGTTAAAAAAATTCAAGTACAAAATATAACGATTTTGATAAAGTCAAAACAAATAACCTGCGTAAAGCAACACTTTACTTCTTGTTAATTTTTTTTATGTGTATTTTTTATTAATATAATAAAAAATAACAAATTATATATACAATAATTATTTGTATTGTATGTATTCAGCCCTTTTTTAACGTCCCACTGCTGGCACCCAACCTGCAGGGAGGCACTGCGGGTCTCCCTTCAGTATGAGGCGGATCAGGCAATAGTCCACCACGCTGGCCAAGTGCGGATTGGCGGACTTCATATATCTTTCGAAAATTTGTTAGGTTCTTTTAGATATGCATGTTTTCTCACTATACTTTATTTCATCGTAAGATAAGTTGTAATAAAGAAGAAAAAATTTGACAATGTCAATACAAAATTTATTGTGTAATCGAAATTTATTTTAAAATATATCCAAAAATAACATTAATAATTGAATTAATAGTATAAAAAATGTTTTAAAACACAACAAAATCGAAAGTGCATAATATTTAACACCATTCAGACAAAGAAAGACAATAGCATTCCCAAGGAGGGTTGACGTCAGGCAGGCGGCCGGTCGTAAAACTTTTGCCAAATCCTATCAGCAGTACACTGAAGATGTACTGCGCCGACCCCAAGTGATTTGGGAAATGGGCAGGGAGAAGAAGAAGAAGAAGATAAGTTGTAATCATGTTAAAAATTATTGACACATGATAATATCAGAAGTGCAAGACCCTTGATTTGATCCCAATTCAGTCGGTTTCTCAAGCGAGCTCGTTACCATTCGGCTACCACTGCCATTAATAATCATTAATTACTTCACTTCGTTCAGTCCGTAACTGGCAACACTTAAAAATATATTTAAAAAAAGAAGATAAACTACAATGAATGTGCTACATTCCAGGGCCAAAATTCCCGCTGATCCGTTGGTGTACAATTACTTTTTTGGTATTGTTAAGGAAGTATTCTAAAGTCTTACCGATCTAAGAGGAAGGCTCCTCTCTACTGTAAATTTAGGTATTTCGACCACCACTTCGCGGCCCATGTATGTTTCTTCCACCACAGCAGCAAGGCGCTCAGGAGTTAACTTGGAAATAATATTTGATAACCCTGTAGTTGACAAATTTTGTTAATATTATATGCTAATATTGATAAATTAATATTAAATATTTGATTAAATCGTTTATTAGTTATTAATTTGATTAAATATATATAATATTAGTTATTAATTTGATTAAATCACATAGAATGCATTGGTTTTAATTTTAGTAGACTAACTAATTAAGTCTATTAAAATTGAAACACATTTTTTATTTTTAATCACCGATTAAATTCGACTTCAAATTCGAGATTCTATTTTTAAGCTGTCAAAGTAAACAAAATTGACCTTTCTAAAAAACTATTTACTTAATAAAATAAAAATAAAAATGACCTTCATTAATTGATGGACATGATTTATAGATTATATATTTATGTATTTATAGGTTAATGATTTTCAAGTAATGTTTGATTTCTAAAGGCTTGTGATGGAAAGCCAAGTAAGTTATTTTGACCTCGCAGAGACCTGTACATCAAGTGAGGTGTCAAATAATAACAATTACAAAATATCTATAAATTAACAAACAAGTTATAAAAAGATTATAAATTAACTGACCTTCTTTTAAAGAATAGGGAGGTAGTAATATGTACATGCTGATGTCATGGCCCTTGTACGGTAGCTCTAAAATTTGCGCACCCAACTCTTCGCTTATCACTGTACAGGAAAACAAACAAAGATTAAATACTAAATTAAATATTAATATCAAAACAATCAAAAGACAATTTCAAGTATAGAATTACTCATCATTGGTCGTTTCGTTGCAGTCAAGTTAATTAAAGAAGGACAAACCAAAAACATATCTTCTCATAATGATGATATATTAATAAAGATTTAGATTTTATTTAATTATTATAATTAGGTATACAATTGTTTACGTTACTTATATACTTTTTTGTGATAAATAAATAAATAAAAAATATAAGAATATTACTATAATGAAATGTCCCCTTCTGTCGCATGAAAGGCACAAATGTCTGGCGAGATTCGGATACATAAAAAGGTTGCTTTTTTGTCCTCTCCACTGGGAATTTTGAAGCCCATACTCCTTTGAAGTATGCAGCATTAGCCAAAACTAATTTTGTAGTCTGACTAATGCCATCTGCTGGAATTAAATCCTTAATATTATTTTTTGTGACACGAGATACCCAGTTATTGATTTCGTCGCGAGATTCTCCAGGCTTTTCATGGAAATTCTGCAAATAAGACAATTAAAATTGTTATAAACTTGGAGTTTAGAAAAGATATCATTCTACAGGCATTGAGAATTTTCAAAAAAATAATAATTTTTAAATAATATTGAAATGATATGTTATAATCCTTGTTATAAATATGTATATAGTTTGCTATACTATTCCTCCAAAATCGTTACGAGTTTATATATGTCTCTATATAAAAAATATGTACCTAACTTCATAATTGAATAATTAAAGACAACGTACTTTTAAAAATTAACAAAAGCAATACTACATTGCAAAAATAATAAAGGAGAAATTATATAGAGCCAGTAAATGTTTCAAAAATACGTTTTTTGTGAAAAAAGAGTATCATTGAAAAAAACTATTTATACACAGCCAATTCCACATTTGCTCAAAAAATATTTTTTGGTTCAGATTGTATGTAACAGTAATTTAGTAGGATTATTTTAGCAAGGTTTTACAGTATCAAAAATAACACTAGGCACGATATTATCTACCAGCGGTATTTTAGATATTTTAATAAGTAGTGTACAAACAATATTATAAAGTTTTAAGTGTCTCCTGAAAACTTTGCTCATATGGAGTTATCCGGTTTGCCAATTAAGGTATCGATATATAATATATATGTATACTATTAAAATTAATATGTAGATACCTACCAGAACGTCCACTTCTGCGGCAAGAAGGTCAAGGAGACACTGACGCAAGTGCAACTCATTGTCCACGAACATCTTGTTAGCGTTCGTGAACTCGTAGCTGTCGCTGTTGTTGTTGAACTCGCGCTCTCGCTTGTCCACCTTGTACGCCATCAACAAGTTTATTTTGTCCTGTAAACGAATCCGATGGTATATGTTAGTAAATATCCTTCAAATTTTTCCTATTACATCACTTCATGACATCATAAACGTTGTTTATAAATAAAATATTTAATACTGTTACAAATAATACTAAACATATAGAATTATTTATATAGAATATAAATTATAGTCTATTTAAAAAAAACTGAATATAAATCTAGTTATTGGGGATTTTTTATTGAATTTTAAAAAAATAAAAAAAGAAATGTGATTAAATTATTTTTAAGATCTTTAAATTAGTATGATTATAAAAAATATGTAAATATAATATTTAAATGTCTATAATAAATGTAATAATCAAGCAGGTGCGAGTCGTACCTACGCCATAATATTTGTATAATATGGTACCTATCTATTAATAAAACAATCCTTCTTATATTAAATATAGTAGCAGCAGGGCTCAAAGCATATTTCGGCCTTTTTATTAGTATTTTTTACTTAAAGTAGACGTTTGTTTATGTTTTCAGCCATTTATAATAAAGTCCTACTAACCGATAGCAACCACGGCGGCCAGAAGGCGCAGAAGATATTATAATGCACAAGTATGCGCGCAAAAACAAGAATACTTCCTATTCCTGCCACTCTCATACTCCGGTAGGATAAGTACTAGACAAGACCAGTAAGAGTTAAGGCGCAGGATCGAGGGCTTTACGTGCTCTCTGAGACACGGGGGTGAAACACCGCTAACTTCAAACTCCAGGCTGTTACTGTGACTTCCTTAATAGAAAGACTCAATAACTAACTTGGCCTGACCCGGAACTCGAACCCAGGACCAAACACAGGAAGCAGTTATTATTTATATACTCGCATAAGATAGAGCGATAATCCCTAAATAAATACACGAACCATATATGAGACCATGGTTAATAATTTCGTATTATTCATTTTGTTATTAAACTATAAGATAAAAAAGAATTAAGAAGAATTTACTGAGTGAGATTTGAAAACTTTCTAGACAAATTACATAATATTGTGGATATTATTAATATTAAATATAATTCGAAGATAGATTAATTAAAATGTTTGTCAGAAACAATTAAGATTTTTTGTTAGCATTAAGACTTATTGAATCTAACTATATTATTTAAAAATGAATAGAAAATAGATTTTACCTGTTCATCCGAAATTCGCAACGATTCCTTTAGCGATTTCTCCGTTTGTCCGCCCGCGGCGAAGTATGCGAGTAGTAACGCGTGGTACACCGAAAATGGTGAGAAAAATATGTTGTCATCGGGAACAGCATTATTTATTGTGTTGAAGAGATTTAATGTGAATTCCAATTGACTTCTATACAAGTTTGTCCGAGCTCCGGAATTTAGTTTCTTGTCTGCGTCGTCTTTGGAAAAGCATTGGCTGTTAACTGTTGTCGACAGCGCAAGAAAAAGAATAACACCTACTTTCAACATGATGTTCACTGTAAAAATAGAAATAAATATATATATATATATAAAAGTCATTTTTTCTATTATTTTTGTTAACTTTTGTTTCTTAATTGAAGTTTACTCAATTACAATAATAATATAATATTTATTTGCATACACCATGTTTAAGACTAACGCATAAGATATTTTATCCCGATAATGTATTATTTATGTAACATTTCTGAACATACAATACACAATAGAAAGAATATACCTACGAGACACGAGTAGGTACTATTGCATGAGAAACTGAAAAAACCAGTGGTAATAATATCATATAAAATATGCTTAATTTCCTTTTAACAAAAAAAACTAATTCGTAAAACACTGCTCTACGTTAACAATCAGACAGAAATCATTTCGTTATATCGAGACTTTCTAACAAAACGGTACAGAGAGAGGGAACGATACTGAGTATACTGACCCTATTATGTGAAATTGAGGTGATTTATTTGAATAATAATAACTTTTTAATTTTTACATCGATTGTTTAAATATAAACATTTTTAATAAGTAAAAAAATATATTATTTAACTTAGTATTACTACGTATATTAATTACATGCTATATACATAAGATACGTCTTGTGCATAATATTAAAAGCATATAAATTGACTTTTAAATCTAATTGGCAAAAATTATATCTAATTACTTACAGTAGATAAGTGGGTACTTATAATATTATTACCCGTTTTATTATGCCCTTCGCTCAGTAACGGATGATTTCAGAAAATGATGTACCCAATCACAATGCACATGTCACTACTTTAGCTTTAATAACACAATTGTAAAAGATTTGTCACGATCTCTACAACTTCGACATGGCCGCGTTAACCCTGAGCATATTGTGGGAAATCCCAGCTGACGTAGCGTTGGTACCACTCATACATATTTATATTACTAAATTGATAACATTCAATACTTTTATTGAATCAAATTGGCTTATAGGGTTTAATTTTCTAAAATATGCCTAAAGTAGTAATATTTTGTATTTGAAACCAATGTTTTTAAGCGAAACACTTTTTTTATTATGCATTAAACTTATACCAACCAATATAAATAACTTTCTTTAAGTTTATGTAACTGGATATATTCACTTTGCGTCACCATGGCAACAAAGGGAATTCCAGACAAATTGTTAAAACGACTGCACAATGCTCGGATTTCCCCCAGTTGCCAATGTCGCAGATCGCACGGAGAAAGTCTACACGTCATGAGTGTTACACAACCACCGGACCACAAAGCGTGTCAATGCGTGTTATGCTTAAATCAAGTAAAGTATTGACGTTAACTGAGCTCATTTAAAATTTTATTAAAGTTCGACCAATTTAGAATAATATTCTAAAAGTATATTAAATAATGTGAATTTTATTTTAATTGACTTTTAGTTCAGGTTTAAGATCATTTATTTCTCAAAAGAATATTACAATTCATTTATATGAGAAATCACATTACATAGCTAAAGCTTAACTTAACACTTTATTGGTTACATCGAAAATTCACAGGCAAGACAAATAACAAGTAGAGGGTAAGATTAAAAAATGTAGGTACATAGTTACACAGGTTAACAGAATAAACGCAACTGGAAGAGATATTACTCTGGACTTAATGTATACTAAATTTTACGATATATTATATTTTAATATTTTTAGTTTTAGTTCAGTTAAAAAAATACCTAACAATCCATTACAGACGCTTCTTTTTAAATATAGATCTAGGTTTTATATCAATTTATTTACATGTACATAATTACGATAGGGAAATCCATGCCCAGTTAACTCATCTAGCCGTGAGATGCTAATTACGTCCTTACCAAATCAATTACCTTTTCGCCGCACAAGTAACTTCTGGGAAATACGCCGCCTACTTACCCATATTACTTAAGACAGCTGTAAATCATTGATTAAAGAAACATTTTAAAAAGGTTGCTTTTTATAACAGAACCGTTATGAATGGACCGTTACAGAAACAATATAATATAGCAAATATTGCACGTTGAAAAGTTTATTTACTTTTATATTATGTTGATATAAAACTGAATAAGCAGAATTCAAATTGGAAAAAAAACCGAAAACACTATACGGTATTTAATAACAAACTTTACATTTGCCTAAAATATGTGTGTAGATATAGGTTAAGTGTTTTTTCATATATGATCATATGAAATTTAAATCTTTTGTTTTGTATTCTTCCATAAAATAGCAATGCAATGGAACTAAAATCAGCTCATAATCATTAAGTATAAACTTATCATAATTAATGTGATTAAAAAAAACTTGAAAAATAAAAAAATGTCATGCATGATCGATTCCAAATTGTTTGTCCAGCAGTGAGTTACAGCAGACCATCACGGTTATGTCTGGTTTTTGTAACACTTGCATACGCTACGCTACTGACGATACGCTAACGGAATTATAAATAGGTGTCGAACATGTTATTGACACTATGCCAACGTAAAATTGAATTCCTATACTAACAAAATATTTAATATACATTAATAACGATATATTAAAAAACGATTGCCGATGCACCTTAACATTTCTAGTTAAAGAATGTTTTCATACTAGTAAAGACTATGTCGGGAAATCATTAAATGTAATATCTATGAAAGCACCTGTGTGCAATCATAATTATAATAATATTCAAATACTTATATTTTTTTCTATGATAATTATAGTACTGTCATTAGAATATGGTTCAAAGATAAGGCAACGACAAAATAACTAGCATTTTTAATGGACCTATTTTTATAATTATCGATAGAAAAAATTCACATATTATCTATGATTAATATTTATGCACGATTTTCCTATCAGTTTATAGAATCACAAATGATGAATTTAAGGAACACAAAAATATAGCTAATTCTCTTTAAGTCTCTACTGAGTAAAGTTTTATTGATTAGTTGTAATAAATATACAGCGAAACGTGAGCAGTAGGTATTTCGTGGAATCTAAATACAATTCACATAAACATAACTTCCAGCATACGAAAAATAAGGTAATTTGATTCGAACGCGATTACACATATTATATCTTTCCTAGTGGTAAATGTTTAGCTTAAAATTAAATTTCGATATACGATAATTTATAATATTTTTAGAGAAATTTTATTACTAGGGCGACAATTTGGTGCACTTGCATCTCTCTTTTTTATATTTTTTATAGTGGGACTATTAATAAGAAACAGATAAGACAATTTTTAATATTTTTTATATTAGTACATATAAAGATTTATTATTTTTATCGTACAAAATAATTACGAGAGACAAGAATAACATCAAACAATTGTATGAGTAATTGTGGTGGTGTTATGTATGACACCAACTGCATATATAAATCAAAGTATGCTACACAATACATTTAATTGAATATAGCACAATTTGTATTTGTACATAGATCACAAAATACTTTACTGATGATTTCTAGTTAGAGTTAGTTCAGTTGATCTTATCAAAAATACGAAATGTCTGATAATGCTAGAAATATATAATCTCAATTAGCATTTCCATGTAAACACTAAACACTGTACATAAAAAAACTTTTTAACAAAAAAAATAAAAACTGACTTCAAACAAAAGCACTAAAAAGTAAAAAATAACTGATTGGTAGTTTTCATTTACTATACATACCTAATCAAATATTTTCGAAGTCTGATAAACTGAAATTCACGATTTGACTTGGCTAGTTTTTACATACAAGTTATCTTATATTCGGTCGTTTCGTCACCGTTTGTATATATACACGGTGCTGCGTCGCCAGTTCCTTTGGCTTGAACTTGGCTGGACACGCTACCGCGTGGCTTGATTAATGAATGTGAAGTTAAAGAATTTTGAGCTTTTGAAACCAACAGTTTCTTTGTCTCACATGTATTGAATTGCAGTCTTAACATGAATTTATTTAATTAAAACCCACACTTGCTGGTAATCTTGTAGACTGCAGAGATACGTAATATTCTTAAAGACATGGTAAATGAAGCACGTATGATTGCCTATCATAGCGCTTACTTCGCTAGAGATAGATTTAATACCTGCGATCTCTCTTGAGACCGTACAGGGTGAAATTCTAATATACTCGTATAAAGTCCCGGTTCACGGTAACGGGTAGTTCGTTTTGGTGAAAGTAGTCTATAATATGCCGCTTGCACTGTTCTATTAGGAATAAGGTACCCAAAATCTGTACATAATACATATAATAAAATTTTAACCAAGCCGAATCTGTACATTAAATATTTTTTGGAAAATTTTATTGAAATAGACATTATTATCGATACAGAGGCCGAATCTATAGTTTTTAAAATATGTCTGTCTGCTACCGCATCACAGAAAAACCACTGGGGGGATTTTGATGAAATTTGGTATGGTGATAGCTGGTTATCCGGGTCAACATATTGGATACTTTTTACCGCGGAAAATATCTCACTTGAAATTTTAAATTAATAAGTTGAAAATTTATATAAGTTTCTTTTGACATAAGAAGGTCCGAATTTAAATATAAAAATATTTAAAAGGCCGGTTTTTCAAGATATGGTATCTTGAAAAACCAGCCTTTTAGCCTTGAGAGCCCATCTACAGTACATCTGCCGACACATCATAAGCATTAGTGTTAATTAGTAAAAGTCTACAATTTATGTTCGAATTTTTAACATTAAAGCTTCTTAGGAAAATAACTAGGTATTTTATTTATAATTTATTAAAAGAATTTGCTACTAGGATATCATAAAAAACCACGCTACTTATATACTCTACTTTATGAGGGGATAAAAATAGATATAGCGTCAATAAGTGTTATTAAGACTCTGATATACTTAAAGTACCTATTATTCAAACAAAAAAATACATATTATTATTATTTTAGTTTTTTTTGTTTGAATTATAGAAAAAAGGCATTAATTTTATTTATCACATAAGAATACTTAAAATATTCTTGGGAATATTGACGGGAGGGTTGACGTCAGGCAGGCGGACGGTCGTAAAACTTTTGCCAAATCCTATCAGCAGTACGGAAAATGTACTGCGCCGACCCCAAGTGATTGAGAAATGAGCAGGGAGATGATGATGAAGAATACTTAAAATATGAAAAGACTGACTACACCAGAATAAAAAAAACTTAAATAATAACAATAATATTATTACACTATATTTGATTAAATAATACTTATGAGTAGGTATTTATTAATATATATTTAGAATTTTTTATTCATTATTATAATACACATTAGTAAACTTTATGATAGCTGTTCATTTTTAAACTTAAAACTGTTTGAGTGTTTTAGTAGATTTACTAAAAATACTATTATTTTATTTTATTCTAATTCATAAATTATTAATCAGGTTCTATACCTGATTATTTATCTATGATACTTATAAATTATAATAAAAAGGCGTGGTTAAAGAAGACTGAATCCGGATTATATTATGACACAAGTTCTTGCTCTACATTTAACTTATACCGCAGAACATGATGCCGCTATATATGTAACGTATGTAACTCAGTTACGTTATCATAAACCGGTGTTCAAATCCGGGAAAATTAAGCAGTAAAAACAAATTCCATTATCTATCTATAATAATATGTAAAAATCATCATACTATCATCGTACCTAGACCCCATAAACGTATATTTAGATAAGAGATGTTTACGGTAAACATTTTGGATACAATTTCCTTACATGAATGTTTATGTTGCAATTACCTATATTCATAATTGGACACAGTAAATTAGAAAGCATATGTGGTTTCCAACGCCTACTTAGAATATGAAGGTTTGACAAATTCAATAGAATAACATCGAAATAAAACACATGTATATAAAATACAATGATAGACCCCATATTATTTCTATAAAAGGTACAACATGAACATAATAGCACTAAAACTGCAGGTATAGTATAAACATTGATATTATAAAAAAGAAAAGCTGAACGTACCGTTTTAGGTGTCCTCAATTATAAATAATTTTATGCACAACAATGAAAAGGTCCTTGACTTTGAACAGGGACTTGAGAGAATCCACTAAATGGTAAATGAAGTAGAGACTTTGTTTCATGTAGCGTTGTGTTGCACCGAGACTCTAAGGCAGACTGAATGAGGGCCAGCCGCCATCCTCTTTTATGTTAGTGGTAAACTGGTATTGCCCGAGCTCGGACCTAATGCAGCTTTACCAATCTGATGATAATTAATGAAAAACATTACTTATATTATTTCCTACTCTACAGTATTCTAACTGTGACAGTATAATATTTGCAATAATCATCAACTATAGAAGCATATTATATTCATTTTTTAGGCTACCGCATCGCAAAAAAAAAAAAACTTAAAACAATTTTTGGGAGAATTATTGATGACGGCAATAAGGAGTAAGTAAATAACACGACGCGACGTAGTAAATTATTAAAGCTTATTTAAATCTAAAAAATATATCAAACTTTTCTTGATTTCTGATTTCTAACATTAAAAAGATTTAAGTAAAGAAACGTGAAAGTACCTAAGTACTCGTACGTATGACTTTTAAAGGGTGAACAATGGTACTACTTAAAAGTAGGTTAAGTGAACACCGCTTTATATGTTTTCAGAAAACGTTGAAGTAGTGGCAATAAATAAATATGAGATAAGATGATTTTGAAATATTTAATCCATAAGTGTCTCGATGAGTTCATCGTTGCTTAGTATATTAGACAATAGATAATCACCTATATATATGTATATATATTCTTTTCATATTACCACCTACTTTTTTAAATATACATGTAGTCCAAAGTCCATGGTCAGATTTAGACCTTTAAAGTTTTAGGTTAAATACAAAGTCACCTACAAATAGATAGTATACCTACATACGTATATTGTGAACAACGTATTTATATATGTATCATATCTCGGTATACATACACACTAATAAGTATTTAGTGTTATATTTCTGACCTCAGCACAGTGTCAGTGGAACGCTAACATTCACTTAGAAAAGTTAGAAAGTAAGCGATATTCGCATGATTGATCTATTGTTGGCTTTTAATCACTATAGACTAAGCGCGACCTTATTATAATTACATTTTACAGTATAAAAACATGTATGTATTATGTTATAAATGTACTACTTAAATATTTTTAAAGTGAAATTGGTCCGCTCAACGTACAACTGAGTAATTATTGACTTATTAAAAAACTGTTTAGAAATACGTATTTCATTTTAAAAACTTAGCAAAAAATAACCCACACATCTTACGCTTATAGACACTCAATTTTTTATTCAACCGCCAGTTTTATGTAACTGAGAGTTTGACATTTCTTAAAATTTAACTTCATTGTCTCGGCTCATACAATAGCTTCTGAGAAAATGTCTTTAAGTTGCGGACAAACGAATGAAATCAAAAAGATTATATCTCTGCTATTAATGTATGAGACTCTTAAAATTATATAATTATGGTTGATTCCCTATACAAACTTACATCCCCATTTTTACCCCCTTAAGGGATGATTTCCGGGATAAAAAGTATCCTATGTCCTTCCTAGGTTCTCAAACTATCTTCTTACCAAATTTCCAGAGATTACCCCCTACAACGTCACAAACTCACAAACTTTACCTCTTTATAATATTAGTACCTATAGATAAAGTCCAGCCATTGAAGATATAAAATGGGGCTTTGCTACAAAACGTCAAGTTTAATTAAATATTAATTAGGATATCAAACTATAATACTGCCAAATCAGAACTGTAGAACACTTCATATCTCACTTGACCTTTTGTAAGTCGGAACCTACCCAGTGATTGGACTATATATTGATGACTTCGAAGTAGGTGTAAATGATGAATTTTAAATTACAGGAAACAGCAAAAAAGTAAAAACACGTAACTGCACATTTATTATAAATTGACACAAGTGACGCCAGAGAATTATGTTGTTGATAAATTATATTTTAAGCTTAAACTACACCGTGTGATAAAATACCTTACCTACATATATAGTACCTTATTACTGTAAAAGTTCTGCGACCCTGTGTCGTAGATAATATTTTATAAGGGCTGAAAAATGTTGCTTCTAGAGTATAGAGCTAAAAATAACTAATAATTGGGTCTTATAATATTTGTAGATAAAATGTGTTAAGAAATTTTCAGTTTGCGCACGACGAAAAATCTGTGGAAATTTTAATCTTACATAATCTAAAGACACAAATTGATAAATATGGTATACACATGCTTAATGTATTATTTTATTAATAGTTATAATTATAATTTTGGTATTAAGAACTTTAGCTATGTAATGTATGTAATTTTAACGACGTCTACTTACTATGCTAAGAAAATATTGTCGATCAAACCGGTTTAATAATACACTGTAATCTGTCGTTTCAGATCATAGTTAATCATGTTTTTAGAACTAGAAACTTAAATACTTGCCACTTATATTCGATTTTTTGAAGAAAAACTTCTTTAGAATCATTGTGATTTGAAACTCGATGAAACGGAAATGCGACACGAGAAAGAGACAAACACATAATTATATAGGAGAAAGCAGGCGAGCGAATGGGATAAAATACGTTACACAGGAAGTGAAAAATAATACTGAATAATATGTTATGTAATATATAATGTTAAATAACTTTTAAACTTGGTAAAAAAATATCTAAACTTATTCCTTATAAAAATGAATATTTTTACTGTGGGATAAATGTGCTATTATATTAAACTAGCGACTCACCCTCGCTTCGCTCGAGTTGGTCCCTAGCTTGCTTCCCCATACAAACTTTCATCTCCATTCTCACCCCCTTAAGGGATGAGTTCCGGGATAAAAACTATTTCACACACTCACTTTTCATTATTTAAAAAAAAAACTTATTTTAGTAAAAAAATATTTTTCTTTTAATATTCTTCAATACAAAACTTCCTGACAATAACAAACATAAAAAAAGAATTATCCAATTTAGTGCAGTCGATCCGAAGTTATACGCGTACATACATTTCGGTGTATCATGTTTTTTATATAGATGAATAGATAAAAGCTGTTATGACTAATTGTTGCCATGCCGTTGTTATTATCTGACAAATACATACATAATAATATATGGCCAGCCGATACAAAGCAAAGCACACCGACTTCGAAAATATTTGATTAGGTATGTATAGTAAATGAAATCTACGAATCAGTTATTTTTAACTTTTTAGTGCTTTTTGAGAAGTCGGTTTTAATTTTTTTGTTAAGAAGTTTTTAATGTTGAGATATATTTGGCAAAACTACCAGAATCAGAATATTATTTCAATGAACAAATTGAACGAGTCAATTCAGAACTTAAAGCTGTACTATCTATCTATTCCGGCCACGGCGGTCAATCTCATTGAGACTAGCCAACTGCGCAGGAGATATTATAGTGCACAAGTGTACGCGCAGACACAACGTGCACTCTCTATTCCTGTCACTCTCGTACTCCGGTGGGACGACTGTTGGACACGACCAGTGATAGTTAAGGCGCAGGACCGACGGCTTTACGTGCTCTCCGAGGCACATGGGTGAAACACCGCCAACTTCCCAACTTGCTGCTCCCAACGGGCTGTTACTGAGGCTTACTTTACAGAAAGACTCAATAACTAAACTTGGCCCGACCCGGGGTTCGAAGCTGGGTCCGGGTGTGCAGCCGTACATGCTAGCCACTACAAAACCGAGGCATTTAATTTTTTTTTCTATCTATACTACTATAGTAATTACCATATAATAATCTTTGATCTTCTAGCAATTAGCTATATGAGTAACTGGTCTCAATAAAAGCGTAATAAAGCTCTACAATTACAATGTAATCCTTTATTCTTTAATCCTTAAGAAATAAATTCTAAACTTATGAATAAAAAACAGTATTTATGTATCTAGTAGTATAAAGAAGTATATGCGAGTATCTAAACTATTTAGCGTCAGCTAAACCATTAACATCTTTGCTTAGAAACCTATTCCAATATTCTTTTAAAATAAAATATCAACAAGGCCAATCCATTATTTACTATAAAAATATAATGTGTTAAACCATTTCAGTTAATATTGACAGCTGTATGTTGTAATATTCCCATAGCACTCATATTATTGCTTGTAATCGTTTTGTTACAACTGAACCGTTCATGTTTATTTTCCTCAAGTAACCCAGATAAAATATTATTATGAAAATATAGTCTTGCTTATTACATAGGTATTTATCTTTAAATTTATTTTAAACTATCTACACCAATTGAGTACATAATATACATACATATGAAATCTGTGAATTTAATTCCATCTTTTAAAGTCTCGAGTACCATCATTTTTAGATGTTCAACTTTTTCTCTATGAACATTTTATCGATAGGGGTTGATAATAGGATGCGGATGAAAAACATGTCGAATCGGTGATTGTCCAAACTTAAGTAGTTAGAGTTAGTAATTTACTTATATTTTAATACTAGCATTGCCCGCGGCTCCGCCCGCGTTCAGATGACCCAATAATCAAATTCTTAGGTTTTACATATTAGTATACTCTTCCAATGCAGTTTTTGTATTTTTCTCAGAAATGAGATATTTTCCCGCGGTAAAAAGTATCTTATATTTTGACCCGGATAACCAGCTACCATCATACCAAATTTCATCAAAATCCCTCCAGTGGTTTTTCCGTTATGCGGTAACAGACAGACTGACAGACAAAAATTCTAAAAACTATACATTCGGCCTCTGTATCGATAATAAAGTCTATTTCAATAAGATTTTCCAAAAAATATTTAATGTACAGATTCGGCTTAGTTACAATTTTATTATGTGTACAGATAGATAATAATTTACACGAAAAAATCTATAATGAATAATCTAAAAATAATCAAAATATAATATAATAATCAAAAGCTAACCAACAAACTGTTCAATCATAATAAATTATTACTAACCACCTGATTTTTTCTGCAGCTTTGTTAATATTTTCATAATTTAATGGCCACACATTCTCACAATATGAATGCTACATTTTTTCAGTTCTAGACTCTTAAATGGCCTTTATTAATTTTCGGTTCCGCGGTTACCCATCACAATAATGCAGACTAAGAAGAGGGCTTTTTGTTATTTCATACTTGACGACACGTTTGGCTCAGTTGGTAGTGACCCTACATGCTGTGCCAGCGGTCGCGGGTTCGAGTCCCGCTTAGGGCATTCATTTGTGTGATGAGCAAGGATGTTTGTACTCCAGTCACGGGTGTTAATATTTATAATATGTATATATTTAAAGTTATATATGTGTAGTGTATCAACTATCTGGTATCCATAACACAAGCCTCGTAGCTTACCGTGGAACTAGATGGTGCTGTGTGTTAATGTCCCAACATTTATTATTATTATACTATGGTCTATTAACGTTAACGGTTTCGGTGGCTCGTAGTAACAAGTACATTTTATATGTTGGTCCACTATTACTGTAAACTTGTAAAGCCTCCTTAGCTCTGATAGTTTTCGTTCGCTCTTCGGGGTACACTTGACTCAACTAAAATTAGCACTTTAAAGCTTAATATTTCACAGACGGCTCTCTTAATCGAAACATTGTTTTCACAAATCCGCAATATTTTTAAAAGAACTATCCAACAACAACCCACACTATGGAGTAGACGAGAAAAAAGAAAAATTTGCCCACACCATGTATAGAGGAGGTACCTAATCTAAAAATAATTTTCCACCTCGCTGTCTTTGAAGGCCGATTTTAGCCAAAGTAGTCCCATTAAGTAGGTACTATTTTTTTTAATGATTATGAAAGCCGAGAGTCTGGCGCATTCTTAAGTTTACTTAGGAACCATGAAGCCACCTATTTAGATTTTTTTTTTATTTAAAGTTAAAAATGTAAGTCATAATTGACCGAACGTAAATGTTTAAGACCAACTACATATTTCTTAACTTTTATCATAGTTACAAAGCTGATTATTTTATTCATAAAAATACTACTTATGAAGACTCAATTGCAAAAAACAAATCTCGACAGTCTTCTATTTTTTTTTTTTTTAGAATTTTTTTAAGTTGGTCAGGTCGAAAATTCTCAAAAATTCAGAAAAATTCATAACTCATAAACTATGAAAAATCGCGTAACATACATGGGGGTGATTCGGATACCCTACGATACGAGGGACCTAAATTTTAGTTTTGGACGTCAACGTTCCGACATTCCTGTATACATAGTATTAAAGAAAGTCACCGTCTGAAAGAGCGATAAACGAGGAAGATGTGTATAGAATTTGTAAATACATATTTCGTACAGAATGGCTGAGCAGAGGGTGTTTTGTCAAAAAAAAAAAGAAAAAAAAAAGTGTTTTCGTAGGTTTACATGGCTACCCCCCCCAACGTGCGTTCACCTTGTCGTGGTGGGGGGGCTCAGTAGTGCCCGGCAATCCAACCGGGCGCGAAGCTAAGAAACGCACAGGGAGGTTGCCCACTTCGGTGGGCGGTGGGAGATGGCCCTCTTCGGGGGGCGGTGTACCATGCGGGTTGCTCCTGGTACTTCTCTGATAGCAGAGTGGACTGTGGAGCAACCCCATGGTTGTGGTGGTCTGCTTCGGCAGACCTGCCGTCGGGGCGTCGTAGTTGAATGCGTAAGCGATCCTGCGACGCCCCATTAAGACGGGTTTTGTTGGGTTTTAGTGGGTAGTACTGGCTGTATTACGCCGGTGAGTCCCACACGTCGTGCGTAAATGCATTTCCCAACGTTAAAAAAAAAAAAAAGGTTTACATGGCTAACGTTGGCCTTTAAAAATACATCATAACAATATACTATAAAATTAAGAAAACCTACAGAAAGTATGTGATCTATTCTGATAATGTTCCTATATTGTAAGGTACGATCACAATAACTATTTGTATCTATTTAAAACGTACATAGGGACGCACCCAAGCCAAGCGACGGTAGTTACTAATTGTATTATAAAGCTGATGATATGGTTGGTATGCACTAACCTGCGAAACTACCAGTTCGATATTCGATTATATTTACTACGCAAGCGTATTCAAATTTTGAGCACAAAATAAAACAACATTTAAATAATATCATATTTTATTATGCATAAAAAATGTAATAAAAATACAAGATAAAGTAAGTCTTATAATGCAAAAAATACTTAGAAATAGTCATCCGAAAAAAAATCTAATAATTTAATGTAGAAAATCAAAACTAAAACGCCACAAGGGCTTTTCACGAATGCCATATCCAAGAACGTTTAAAATATAATTTTATACTTTCTTTATATTATGCTTCGTAATAAGGCACATTTCACATTAAAAATGCCAGAATTGTACTTTATAAAAGGAATGTAACTAACTTTAAACTTAAAGTTAGATACTTTAAGATAGTGGTAATCAATAAGTCAATAAACAGAAAACGTGCGTCGTTAGTCTAGCACTATATGCGTATAAAATGAAGTAACAATATAAGATGTCTCCATTGGTTTTATTTAGGAAGTTTTCCTACTTCGTAGAGGTATGCGGCGAATAGTTTTATCTGAAAAAAAAAATTAATTGAAAAAACAGTCCTTCCAAAATTTAATTTTAAATATTCATGTTTCCATAATAATAAATATGTTTATAAACATATAAATAAATTAATAATTAAATTGAAAATTATAATTTAATAAAAAAGTTCACGCTGTATGTTACTGCGTTAGTTAATTTATACGCTCATATCTCAAAAGATACCTTATTTGCATTTCCTAATAACATGTTTATCTGTGTATGAAGTAATTCATAATTTTAGGATGAATAATCAATTGGACCCAGTTATGCAAAAAACAGCCATGTGCGTAAAAGTACCAACAGAGTTATAAGCATTTTATTATAAAAAATAAAATAATTTTAAAAAATACTTATATAAATATTGTTCAATTTTAAAATAACCAGAAAAACAAAACATAACCCAAGTGCAACTATCGACAGAAAAATGCTTATAAAACTGTGTTGGTACTTTTACGCGCATGGCTGTTTTTTGCATAACTGGGTCCAATTACCGATGTTGTTTATGGTGTTTTATTTTTTATTGGAACTTTTAGAAGATTGTGACAAAAACTAATAGTAAGAAGGCCACTATTAGACTACTTGAGGAAAAAACCACTATCATACAGTTAAACCTCGTCTGTCTGTACTTGCGAAGTTTAAAAGTTTAAAATCTTGTTTTTAGTATATTTTTTTTAATCTAACTAACTTTCTACAACCACTAAAAATCGCTGAACTTACACGATTGATAGGTCCTCGCCCCCATGCCAGCTTTGATCCATCAGTCATATTATGTATATCTTTTTTCTTTGGTATAGTGGCTTAGATTTGCGTTTTATGTATATTTTATTACCTTTCTGAGATTATCCTATTTAATACTAGCAACTCGCCCTCGCTAAGCTCAGGTTCGTCCCTAGGTACGATACTTAGTATGGAATTGACCTTTTTTTCAAAAAAAAATCGTGAATTTCTCCGTTTTAATTTTATTATTTAATTTTAATTTCTGCTATTCGGCATGAAGAGAAATGCAATAAAATAAAGATAGTAAAAATCGGTTGAGCAGTTCTCGAATTATAAGTGTTGTAATAAGCCCGACTTTGTTTTATTTATCTCTATCTACAAATATAAATAAAAATCAATTGCCAAATGTGTGTAAGCGAACTATTTCAGAACGGCATGCACCTATTTGGCTAATTCTTTTTTTGATGTGTTTCTAATTGTCACGACAAGGTTTGGGTGAAAGAAATATTAGAAACTGTGGGCTCACCCCCTCGATGTAGTTGCGCACGTTGAGCTTCTCGTTCTGCGAGTGCGCCATGTCGTCGCCGGCGCCCATGGGCAGCAGCAGCACGTTGCGCGCGCTCGCCTCCTGCAGCGTGATGGTCACGGGGATGGAGCCGCCCTCGCGCGACATGTCGGGGTCGGTCTGCGCCGCACCGTCACACACGTGTTATTATTGGCCCTACCCATGTGACACGTTTGGCTCAGTTTGTAGTGGCCCTACTTGCTGAGCCAGAGGTCGGGGGATCGAGTCCCGCTGGGGGCATCCATTTATGTGACGAGCACGAATGTTTGTACTCCAGTCATGGGTGTTTATATTTATAATATGTATGTATCTAAATGTATACATAGTAAGTGAGTATACCTAGTATCAAGATGCGGTAGCGTCTCCAGCTAAGTTCTGGCGAAGCAGCACCGTCTGTATATTTACACGAACCATTTGGAGCCAATTTTCACGTCACAATAACTCAAAATCAATTTAACATGAACTCATGAAATTTGATCTATTTATTAAATCCCCTAAGATTAACTAGAATCCCCAATTTCATAAATACAGCTCAAATGGCTATAAGTTATTAAGGTCTAAAAATCGGCATTTTTATCATTGACTGACTGACATATAGTAATAAAACTTACCCACTTCCCGATGACCTAAAAAGTTGAAATTTGGTGTCCAGATGGGTAATCATATGCATACATAGGGAAAAACCCAAAACCAGTATTTTTTTTAAATTTAAAATAAAAATATATTATCAGCTTGCGCCTTCCAAAACATAATAGCAATAGCTTAACACCTAATGACTTTCGAAATATAATACCAATAGCAATCATAGTAATAGCATAAAATAATATAATCAGTCGTCTGTAATGCGCGCTAGGTAACGGACGCGCATTGCATTGCACACTCTGACCCGAATTTTTATTCTCGTACTGCGCGGCTTAGCCGCTGCCGGATACAGCCGCTATGAGTTCCGAAAAACTCATAGCTAACGAGCTGTTGGCGTTTATACAACACGCCATCGACTCTATGGACGAAGTCAGCATCATGCAGATCTGCAAGTCGAACTTTAAAGAAGAGATTTGCAGGAGCAAGGTGTTGCTCTACGAGAGTCTCGGCCAGGCCGACCGAATTCCCACTCGCAGAAGGGATGAAAAGGGGGAGAGAAGTCTTCAGGACATCATTAATCTCCTGGAGACAACCGATCCTAACGACATGCCCGCCTTCGTGGCTAAGCAGCTGAACAAGCTGCCTCCCGTCACGTTCGATCACGTTGACGTCACCAGGCTGCTCAAGGATATCACCACCCTGAAAGCTGGCCTGGCAGAGGTGCAGTTTAAGTTAGAGATTTCCGAATCTACCATCAGTGAGCTGCACACAGAATTATTATCATTCAAAAGTAATGGTTCTGTAAGTAGGTCACCAGAGTTCACTAACGTAAACACACGTCGCGGCGCACAAATTGACTCCAACAGCAGTTTGTCGTCGCCGCCGATTACTGCTGAGGTGCGCGAATCGCGCGACACAGCTACGCCTGCCGCCCGCTCCCCGGCCCCGCTGATGACGTCGAGTGCGAGCGCGATCATGACCCCACCGCGTGCATACGCCGCAGTCGCAGCCGCGCCTGCCCCCGCCGCTACACCCACCCCGCCAAGCAAGCGGCCCTCGAATGGAGGGAAAAAAAAGAGCCGGAGCAGACCAACTGCCAAACAGGTGCCTCCGTCGGGTTCCACAAAGAACAAATCTGACGAGGAGGGCTTCACTAAAGTGGAGAGGAAGAAGAGGAAGCCCTCATGCCGTAACATCTGTGGCACAGCTCCGAGCCAGCCAGACCATCCGATGCGCCCCGCCGTACCATCGACGCCGCTGTATGTGTCCCGATTGCACTGGCCTACGAAGGTCGAGGATGTCGTGGACTATGGTCAGAAGAGGTCCAACTTCAAATTGAGGGTTGAACGGCTGGTACCTCGCCACAAAACGAGTTTCAAATCGTTTTTGGTGAGAGTGCCGACTCATCATCTGCCAACCTTCATGAAGAAGGACTTTTGGCCGCAGGGCGTCGTATTTCGAAAGTTCCGAGGTCGTTTGCCCGCTGACACAGCTCACACGTCTGCACTTCGTGTGAATTAGTTATATTTAATATACATATATATGTTAGTTTTAAGGTATATATTATGCTATGGGCCTCTGTTTACGTATTTAAGATCCTTATGTAAATATTGCCTGAAATAAATGATTAAATAAAAAATAATAAAAAAAATAAACATTTTCTTTATCAGGAGAAAAGGTTCCATGGTGATTAAAAAACATTTTCCTATTCCGCCTTATCCACTAACTAATAGCCTTAAAAAGGCTAAATTATTACTGAAACATTTTATTATGATAATAATAAAAAAAAAAAATGATAAAAGTAGCAGAAGTATTTGTAAGTGACCTGGTATATTAGCTTGGTGGCGCGCGCCGCGGCCTGGTAGTGCGGGTGGTCAGGGTTCTCCGTCCACGCGCGCCCGCTCTGCGCCGTGATGCGCAACTTGTTGGGCGACCCGCGCTCTGCCCACTGGAACATTTGAATTATAACAAATACACTATTATGAAGATGATGTTATCCCCACAGATTTCGACCACGGCTGCCAACCTCACTGTGACTAGCCAACTGCCCAGGAGATATAGTGCACAAGTGTATGCACTAGTGATGTAACGAATATTCGCATTCGCATTCACGTTCACATTCGCATACAGATTTCGATTAAATTTACTATACAGATAAATTGTGACTTGGAGTAGCACATACGCTACTGTTATGCGACCCACGCACATGAGCGAAGCCAGTGTAAGTTGCTAGTGATACTTACTATGATTTTATCTTACTATGAACTATGATTTTATCTGTTGAAAAAAAAACAAAAGATGCGGATTACGTCACTAAATACACACTTAATCAATTTGAATTAAACATAATCAATTACAACATTTTATCTGATATTTACATGATGAATTACTCATAATTAATTACTGTAAATTAATCCCGCCACGACCGCAGACACGCCGGCGTTACAGTTAACAATAGATTTCTTAGAAATTTAATTAATTTCTTGGTTCCTGGAGGTGTTATAATTTAAATAAATATTTTAGATCAACATTTTTTTTCGATCAGTAGCCGGACCTAGAGCTACATATGTTTATCTCTACATACTTGTATTCTAAAGTTACATATTTACATATGAATGTAAATGAAAATTAACGAAGTTTTACCTTCAAAAGTATGAGGTGTGTTATTTATTAGTAACAAACAAACCACCCAGCCGGTACTAAGTAATTGACGATTTATTAAATAGAATAAATCCAAAAACTAAAATGTACACTATTATAAAGCAAATAAAATATTATCTTACTAAACATAATTTGTTTAAATACTGAATGAGTAAATTGAGCTTCACCACTGTCTACATATAAAATTTAAAAAATAAATAATAAAATACATAATTATAATATTTAGATCTCATATAGAGATAAATCCACTTTTGTCCGACGTCACTTTTTAATTTTTATGTATTTTTATGACGGTTTTTGTGCAATAAACAATATAATATATCAAATTAACAGATTATATAATATACCTTTTGATTTATATAGTCAAAAACAAGTTTTTCAACTTCTTCAGGCTCTTGATTTGGCACAATGCGAATAGAGAATTTTCCAATCACTTTCGCCGGAATAACCGTTTTGGCACCAGTTTGATAATGGGCACCTGAAATTAAAACAAATTATCTTAATACTGTTACAAATGTGAAAGCTTGTGTGTTTGTGTGTGTGTCTATCTCTTGCACAATTAGAAAGAAAAAAGAAAGCTGGACGCATTTTGATGAAATTAGTACACACTACACAGATATAATAGGAACCCCAACAGTAGGTATACATATGCAATGCATATTACAGATATTCACTACAGCTACACTGTCAGAAAAAATGGTACCTTTGTGTACAATAAATATAACAACTATTTAAATGTGGTATAATAATTCATTTACCCGAAATATAATTTAGAGTAATAAAAGCCTAAATAGCATGAAAGGCGCCTAGGGGCCCGAGCGTGGAGAGGGTAATTCGTAATTACTTTTAATATACAAGCTATCTATGGTTTTGCTCAACAAAAAAGAGCAACTGTTGAGTTTCTCGCCGGCTCTTCTCAGCAGAACTGCCTTCTGAGCCAGTGGTAGATTCCTCACGTACTGACTACATTGACATTAAATTTTTTTAAATGTAAAATTAACGATCTAAAAGTTCTTGTGAAAGTGTATTTGAATAAAGTATATTTTGACTTGATTTGATATACAATTTAATTCACAAGTGCTGAACAAATACATATGCACATTCAAACGTGTTTCTGTTTGTATGTTTGAATTAGCGACTCACCCTCGCGTCAATTCGAGTTCGTCCTTAACAAAAAGAAATCTATCCCACGGGAACCGTTCATTTTTCCAGGATGATATATAGCCTATATTCCTCAATAAACGGGCTATCTAATGTAAAAAAATCAAATCGGATTGGTAGTTCCTGAGATTAGCACGTTCAAACAAATAAACTCTGCCTCTTGAGTATTGATAAAAATAATACTTATATAAGTATAGATAAAAATTATGCTAATATTTATGTTTAATCGAACCTACAATACAAAAAAGTCCTATTGGATTACCTTCAATGGTCCTCGAATGATTCATTTGATGACGCAGTTAGTCTTTGATAATTCTAAATAGCGCTGCGCAAAACAAAAGTTATGTTCTAGTGACAGTGTAAGTATTATCGCTAATGATATAATAGTTTGATTTTTTTTTTATTTTAATTTTACATTGCGTTAAAGCGCGTGAATTGATTTTTTCGTTTATCGTACATGTAATTATTACTGTCATTCGTATTATCACGGTAATGTAATGCATACAGTATTGCAATTCGGCCCTGTCTTTGAAATAATTACCTACAGCCGAGCGGCACCCACGCGACAGGGCTGCCCGAGTTCCCGCCGGCCAGTATTTTAATTTCATCTACCTACTTGAGTTTCTTTCTAATTTTGTGATTTCAAATATTATATTTTTTATTTAAAAAATATTATTAGTCGATTTAATTTAAAAATCTCAATTTTATAAGGTTGGTATGTGACCCTTATAATTTGAGATTGAAAAATATTTGCGTCTCGACTGAGACGTACGAAAAGTTTTATTGTTAAATTTAATGGTATAAAGAATCCGCATTTGGATAAAAAGTTTAACTAAAAATACTTTAATTATTATTTTTGATTTAACCAATTATTTTTTATTTTTAAAACATACGATATCTCGATACTTTTTTGTTTGACATTAGCGAAGTTACGGGAGGAATAAAATGTTTATTTTTGTATGAAATTATAAAAGTTAGATAACATAACCACCTCATACAATTTTCGTATCCAATTATACGATCTGGCAGCCCCGCGCGGTTGTCTACCGAGTGTATACCGAACGCGAAGTGCGTAGGTATAAATCGATTTCCGACCGTTTGTATGAGGATGGAATACTGTATGTAACATTACCGTGGTATTATGTACATCCATTATGTTGACATTATCTTTTATTATTATTATTAAAATTGCTATTTTATTTAATAAAAAGTTTAGTATATAAATATGATAAATTAAATATATTATAAGTCACCTACACATGCCATATTTTAACAAAACATTAGAGCAGTGTCTTATATTTTTACCAATTAAAAAAACAATGTAACACAAATCAATAGAAAAATTTTAATGGCCATAAACTACCTACAATTGATTTGACCTTCACAATACAAATAGCTCCCTGTTTCTATGTGTCACAGTCATCTATTATTCTTTTCAATTCAATTTTCTTGTTAATGGTTTCAAACCGTGCCAGTATATAAATATTACAAACAAATAGTGTCAACAAAATATTTCTCTATACAGTGTGTTAAAAAAACCCTGTCCGACCGGTGAAGGTATTATTAGGTATCGTGATTCGATTCTATTTATGTAAGAAAAATCAGATTCCAAGTAAAAAAACTTACCCCATTTAAAAATTTAAAATATTTCATAAATAATGTGAAACTTACATGGCAATACTGGTGGCGGGCGATGTGGCGCGAAGTGACGTCATAAGGTCATGAACCCAGTTGACCTCAAACTACGCTTATCAATTTGTAGGTAGTTAAGTAGTCTGTTATTCTATGAGGACGCTAATGCGATGGCTGTGATGGAGATGTTGTTCCATGTGACGGCCTCCACGAGTGATACAGGCTTGACAGCGTTGCAAAAGGTTATCACGGACCCTTTCAAGCACGTTTGTGTCTGATTTTATGTGTTCAAACGCTGCTACAATACGCCCACGCATTTCAGCTTCAGTGTCACTGTTCTATGAAAGGAACATTCATCGGTGAAAATAACCCTTTTCAAAAATTCAGCGTCCTCTGCGATTTTCCTTAAAATCCATGTACAATATTCCACTCTAGGTTCATAATCACTGGGTAGTAAAGATTGGACACGACGGTAGTGAAAAGGATGCTGGCCATCTTCTTTCAACACTTTCCACACCTGGACGTGGTTAGTTCCCAGTTGTTGTGCCACAGAACGAGTACTTCGGGTGGGTTCCTCATTAAATAATTCAAGCACCTGCTCTTCAATATCCATATCGATACGCGGTCTCCCTGTATCAGCGTGATGCGTTTCGTAGCCGTGAACACTGCCCGTGGTATACATACGATTGTGAAGACGTTGAAAGGCACGCTCTGACGGCACCGTGGTACCCCGCGGAACTGCAAAACGCATTTCATAGTCTCTACGAGCTTCTGCATAATTGCAGTCACTCCTCCCCAAACACATTAACATATTAAAGTACTCTTCATTCGTATACGACATAGTTAAAACTCAATTTCTCTAACACGTGCACTCGGATGCAATGTTTCGCGAAACTGACATAATTTTAAGTGAAATAAATAATAAAGCGAACAAATAGTGATCGTAAGTATGTAATTCAAGGTCGGGATAGCCGCTACACGTGCCGAGCGGTCCCTTTGACAACGGGCGGCACATCGTCTGTCGGCACACATCAAAGATGCCGCCGCCACATTTATTTATTTATTTATTTATTTATTAACACCAACAAGACATACACTAACAAAATCATAATAATATAATTACAATAAATAATAAATTCTAAGTGCTGCCTTAATTATAGGTGTTACACACATTTCATAAAAGATAGACACAAATACAAGTAGTGAATTAAAATAAATACAAAAATTATGGGAATATTATATAAATTAAGTTAAATATAAATTGAATCAGAAATTAATATTATTTGATAATTTAAAATATGCATCATTTCAAAATTATAAAAATTAAGTTGTATATAAATTGAATCAGAAATTAATATTATATGATAATTTAAAACATGCATCATTTTATAATTATACAATCGTTAAACATGAAAAATAATCTCATTAATTTATTGTTCAATGTTGACACTGATTAAAACTTAGCACATTTATTTAAATTTTCTTAATAAAAAATATACCTTTTGACTATAAATTACAATTATTCGATGAGAATAAATAAAATAAATTACGTTTAAATATCGAGAGATTATCTGAAAAAATATCAATATCAACTTTTCTATCCTTTTGTTTATCATCAGTAGTCGTTATGGCACCAATACAATTCTTATGTGTTAATTTATACACAGCATTATAACTCAACATCAATCTATTAATCGGGGAACAGCGTCCTTGACGTGAGCGTGTGTTTTTTTCTACGAATGGTATAAAAGACGACGGCCTTTTAGTTTTTAATGGGGCACGAATATTTATTTGAGCTAGTAAGTAGGAACTATCAATGACGCCATTCACCAACTTATGCAAGAAAGTAAGGTCAAGGAGCTGCCTTCGATTCGAGAGTGACTGAAGCTTAAAATAATTTAACTTATCCTCGTAACTCCTTAGAGTTTTAACTAGATTATGCTCGTAAGATAAATGCAAAAGAAATCTCTTTTGTATCCTTTCGATTCTTTGTGAGTAAATATTAAAGTGTGGATTCCATACAACGCTGCAGTATTCCAAAATACTTCGTACCAAAGCTGAGTAGATAATTATTTTAGTGCGTGCATCCTTGAATTGCTTACAGTTACGGAAGAGGAAGCCAAGAGTCCTAAAACCCTTGCTAACAATATTATCTATGTGGATGTTATAGCGGAGCTTATTGTCAAGCGTAACTCCTAAATCGCGTATGTGAGGAACTTCAGATAAAATACGACCATCAATGTTATACGTTGTTGCAAGAGATGTTTTCTTTCTAGAAAATTTTATAACATGACACTTATTAGCATTTAACAACATGCCGTTGTTACGACACCATGATAACAAATTATTTAAGTCTTCCTGTAAAATCTCTGCATCAGAACTTGACGAGACAGGTCTAAAGATCTTTAGATCGTCAGCGAACAGATAAAACTTTGAATTACTAAAGCAACTGCTGATGTCGTTAATGAATATGTTAAACAACAAAGGCCCCAGATGAGACCCTTGAGGTACACCAGTATAGGCAAAAACGGTTCAGAAGCATAACCATTAACGACAACAGTTGATGACCGATTGGAAAGATACGATTTGAACCAGTCCAGCAACGGGCCTGCTATACCTATACCTTTGAGTTTCATAAGTAAAATAGAATGATCAACCTTGTCGAAGGCCTTACTGAAATCTGTGTAGATTGCATCAACGGATTTGCCAGTATCAAGAGCCTCAGTAATGTCTTCCACAAAGGAAACAAGGTTAGTGACTGTTGATCTAGCTTTCACAAACCCATGCTGCTCAGATGCAACATTTTTTTAAAGTGCCATGAAACAACGGGACATATAAGTAGCTCAAATACTTTTGCAAAAACAGAAATAATGGAGATAGGTCTATAATTTTTAACCGCCTCTTTGTCACCGGTTTTGAACAAAGGCAACACCAGAGCTTTTTTCCATAAGGTTGGATATGTACTAGTGCTAAGAGATCTGTTGACAATCAATGCAAGTGGCAAAGCCAACGCACTAGCGCAATTACGGACAAATATCGATGGAATACCATCTGCTCCAGCTCCTTTCCTAATATCAAGTCTTTTTAAAACATTGTAAACCTGGTCCACTGTATAAGATATACAATCAAGATACACATTACTACAAGAGTTCATAAGATTAGAGTTATTATTAAAATTTTGATTAGTATTATTGCAACTGTATACTGACGAAAAATAATTAGCGAAAACATTGCAAATGTCCGTTCCATTGGAAACAGATATATTGTCGTTTTTAATTTTTGAAGGATACGAACTATTGCCTCTCTTTTGTTTTAAGAACGACCAAATTAATTTTGGGTTTGATTTTAAGGAGAGTTCAAGTCGTTCTATATATTTAGCGTAGGAGTATGCTAACAATACCTCACATCTTTTTTTCAGTAAATCAAAGGTAAGCTTATCGCGAGGATTGTTAAATTTGCGAACTTTCATCCTATATTTATATTTTTCTTTAATGCACTTGATCAGACATGGAGTAAACCAAACTGGATATTTATGACTGCGTGATTTCGTTTTAGGTACATATTTCCGTATTAATTTACTAATTTCATCATAAAACAGTGCAACCATATCGTCAACACAAAGACATTCACCCAAAATTTCCCTCCAGTCAATTTCATTTAGACCTTTTATTATGTTTTCATAATCAGCCTTATGAAATCAAAATTTTGTAATGGTGTTATTAGGGACTAGTGATACCGGATTTGTAAAATCCATTGAAAAAACCAATGGCGGATGAAGAGGATCAACACATGTTAAAGGATCAGGACATGATAGAATATTAACAGTGTTAATATTGGACAATACAAGATCAAGCACCTTATTTTTACAGTTTAAGATTTGATTGAATTGGTTCAATTCATTGCATGAGAGAAAGTCTATTAAGAGATTTTGTAGGTAACTGTTGGAGTGCTTTGCACAAAGATGCCCATGTGGCTCCAGAGACCATGTTATACTACTTAGGTTGAAATCGCCAGCAATAATTATATTTTCATCGAGTGATTCCAATACTCGACTTGAGTTATTAATAAAGCGCTCAAGAATGTGTATTTGGACGGGTGGGGGGATATACACAGCACATACATAAAGCTTTTCGGATTTTCCTTGGACATTTTCTACTTCTACGCAGACCCAAAGATCCTCGCACTCGGACTCGAAATTAAAGAGCCGCTCAGAATTTAATTGCTTAGATACGGCTATAAGTACACCGCCACCATTCTTTGAAGCATGAAACCCACTACTCTCCCGATCGCGTCTGTATACAATGTAACGATCATCAAAGATTTCAGAATCGAAAACACTCGCATTTAACCACGTTTCCGTCATAATTACAATATCGTATGAATTACAAACTATGTTATTAAATAGATCAATTGTTTTTGATCTGAGACCCCTAACGTTTTGGTAGTAAATTGAAATATTATTCTGTAAAGTGCCTTTTAGTAAAAAAAAATATACAAATTTAGCGCCTCTCTATGACAAATTTTTTACAGTATCATGATTTCGTATATGGATGTAGTTTGAACCTTCAGATTTTCTGACAAATATTTTTCCATCACGAACCCAAACGAAACGGTAGCCGAGCTCTTTTGCTTTAAGGCGAGCTGCAGCATGTAGAATTTTTCCTTCTGGTGTAAGATTTTCCACAACGTATATTGGAGTATTCTTGGCGCTTGCGATTCCCAAATGACTAGTGCTAAGTTTATCGGTACTATTTTTTTTATTATATTTAATAGTAGCTGCTAAAAATTCATCACGAAGTCTAGGACTACTGAACTTTACTAATATCGATCTTGGTCGAGGACTTTTAGTATTCATCTTCGCTAATCTTGCACAGAAATGAATATTTTCTGGGGCTATCGGGCATTGTATAATTTTGCCTAGTTGTTGTACCGTGTTGACCAAATTCTCTTGTCTGTTTTCTGGAACACATTGGATTTCGATATTTGAAGCACGTGTCTGCTGTTCAAGTTGTGTAAGACGAGTTATGATAGTCTGGTTAGCTGCTCGCAGAGTTTCGTTCTCCTTGATAATCTGTTGCATTTGTGCTGATTGATTTGCATGTTCAGTTTTAACTTTATCTATATCCTGGCTTAATGACGACAAGGAAGTTTCAAATGAGGCAAGAGTATGTTTTATTTCCTGAATTTTAGGGTGTAAATCATTACTGAAAATATTGCGTAATTCCTCTCTGATTATTTCTCTTACATTGTTAGCCGATAAACAGGAGCAAGTAGAACGACTTTTTACACGCTGAGTTACGAAGTCCATTTCCATTGGTGAGTTACGAACTGGTGTGTTGGAGTGATCTCCTCTCGGTTGTTTACACCTGCATACGTCACATATCCATGAACTTTTCATTTCCGAGCTCATCACACTAAAGTCTTGCATTGTAATTCGCGTGCACGCAACATGATATTTATCATTGCATCGGCGACATTGCAATGACATGGTGTTATCTAGTGCGTTAGGGCATCCAGCACAATCAAAATTTGCCATGATGTAATTTATAAAAATTGTGTGCAAAAATAAAAAGAAAAATGTCTTGGCAGAGTTTGGATTTGAACCCTCAACGTGTGCTAGCGTGTTGTCACGTACTCTACGGCTGCGCCACAGTCTATGTATCTTGAGATGGCTAATTAGTAAGTAATATTACACTAGCAAAGATTTGCATCAATGGAGGTCAACAAACTAGTGTTTTTTATATACGAAGCTCATTAGCACTCGCGCGCTCCGATTATTAAACAAGGTTAACAACGACAGTTTATCACATATTTTTTTAAAGTTTTTGCTAAATATCTTCACACAGAGAACACTGATTGAACTAGGATTTCACACATTGTTTACTTCACAACAACTAAACATAGTAATAGAAAAATTATTGCTTAATAACTAAGAATTTTGCTTGAAACGAATTAATAACTTTAAGAACAGAAATATATGTGTCTATTACTCGACGCTCGGACGAAAAAGCCAATGATGAAACATGATGAATAATACCGCCGAAATTAATGTTGCACCTTTTTAAAATTTCCTAGAATTTTGGGGAAAATAACAAAATAAATGGACATTTTAAATTTCATTAACATGTTTACTATCATGAATATTTTATGTTTCTTATTTTATTTGGTCAATTGATTGGGATACCTATACACTGGCTTCCGATCGGACAAGGTTTTTTTAACACACTGTATAGTTATGAAATTACATTTTTTTATAAAATACTAGCGAATTACCCTCGCTTCGCTCGGGTTCGTCCCTAGGTTGATTCTCCATACAAATTTTTATCCCCGTTTTCATCCCCTTAAGGGATGGTTTCCGGAATAAAAAAATCTCCATGTGAAGGACATGGTCCCAGGGTCTCAAAGTATATTCTTACCAAATTTCATCTAAATCGGTCCAGTCGTTTTTGAGTTTATGGTTTAGAAACATACAAAAATACAAATCTTTCCTCTTTATAATATTAGTGTAAATTTAATTTGAAATATGTACGTACATGTTTAAATTTTTATTTAGTTTTAGTTACAAATGTGTACAATTTCACAAGTTGTTTATGCTACACTGCCTAATGAATATTTAAAATATATTAACATAATAAATTGTACCGATAACAATAAAAATATATTACGAAAACTACTATATACTTATATGTCAATTTGACTTATAGATATAGTATATACTTGCTGTGCCAGCGGTCGCGAGTTCGAGCCCCGCTGGGGGCATTCTATTGTGTGATGGGCACGAAATGTTTGTACTCCAGTCATGGGTATTCATATTTATAATATGTATGTATTTAAATTATATATGTGTAGTGTATCAACTATCTGGTATTCATAATACAAGCGTCGTAGCTTACCATGGAACTAGGTGGTGCTGTGTTCAATGTCCCGACATATTTAAATGTAATGTCTATTACAATTGCTTTTTTTTAGCTAAACTAAGAATTGATTGAATTTATTTTATTGAAAATTGGCAGAAATAGAGACATAATATCGTCTACCGTAGTTATTTATATGCAATCAGAATATTTTAGCCTCTAGCAGCAGTGAAACACTTAGACCCCATCTGTTCGGCCGTCTATCATAATCTTAGCTAATATCTTCTAACTGCCAAATTGCAGCTTCATAAATTAAGTTGTTTTAGAGATTTCGTGTTTAGTCAAAGAGATAATGACGGATCTTTCGCTTTTATATACATATATAGACAGATACATTTGTTCCAGTATTTGCAAAAATAGAAAAACATTTCAATTATCATATAAAAAAAAATCTTTCCAACTATAGAAATACAAATTACCTTCAATACCATGAAGGGATAAGCTGGGATACCTCCAGCGATGCATCAGTAACTGCTCCTTAACAGCATTATGAGGGAGTTTATAAGCCTCAATTGACTGTCTGAAAACCATAAAAATAATCATAGTAGTCTTAAACAAAAAACTATTTAATTCAGTATACTTTAGATAAAAACAATTAAAGCATTAAGACAACATATCAGCATATCAAAATATTATATCAGTAATTTGTTTAGAATTATGTATTTATCTTGCCTAGTTACAAACTTAAAGTATTATCACCTACCTCCAGTCTACATCAATGATTAAGAAATTAAAAGTGATACATTTTGTTTACCACATTGTATAATAATTATATAATGATAAAAAACTGAGCTACAATTTTTAAAATATACATAATAGAATAATTAAGCATACCTGTAAGACTCTGGGTCAAAATCAATAGAGTTATAAAGCTTCTTCTCGTTTTCATCAAGAGGAGCAACAGATTTGTAAATGTCTGTGATCAAAATTTTTCCATCCTTATCCACTAATTCATTCATCAGATAGATCAAATCTGTCATGGCTGAAATAATTTAAAACAATATTTAATAAGGAATATGCATGCATATGATTTAAATAAAGGTGAAATATTTTCTTATAACCTTTTTTGCTTTTGAATTAAGCCCATATCAGTATTTTTTAATGTAATTTGTTTTTGATTAAGAAAATTAGAAATTCAAAATAGTTGAAACGCAACGCCGTGACGTCAAAGTCTATCATAAAAGAGCGCTGTTATAGGGTGATTGCGATTGGTACTAACAATCTAGATCTGTTTACTTGTTAATTGCAATGTTGTCATAGACTATGACGTCACGCCAAAATGGTTGGCATTTAAAGTAGGCGTATCTGTATATTTAAGAAAAAATTTACTCAATTTTAGTTTTTTTTGTTGAATATTTTTTATAATTATATAACGATCTAAGCTATTGTATAAAAAAATCACGCATATTCCCTATTATATATTTCGTTTATTTTCTTCATTTTATTTAATAATTAGAATTGAAAAGTGAATATTAAAACCATTAAACAATTAATATAAATCAAAAGGAAGCTTTATTATTATAAAAAAAATATTGAAAGATTAAGTGTATATAGTTAGATAAAATGAATGCTATTAATAACCCAATCAAAAAGTAAAGTGTAGTTTAAAAAAAATAAACTAAGTAAAAACTACAACCATGTTGTAGCACTTGCAAGTATATATAAAAAGAACCACAGGTTTATATTTAAAACACAAGCTAGACAGGTTTCTCAAACATGTTACTTTGCCCTTTAAATTAAAATTAATTCTAAATGTACACAATATCCATACTAATATTATAAATGTGAAAGTGTGTTTGTTTGTTTGTTTGTTTTTCTTTCACGTCGAAACGGTTCGGCGGATTAGCGTGATTTTTTGTGTAGAGATAGTTGGAGGGCTGGAGAGTGACATAGGCTACTTTTTATCGCAGGAGATTATCTCTTTCCCACGGAAAAACACGTTATAATACAATCCAAAAAAATATTTATGATCAGAATTACTTGAAACTTGGTATTATTACTCTCCAATACAATTAATTAAATACATGTTATAGCATTTTTCAAAATTATCCCATAAGGGGGAAAATAGCAGATGAAAGTGGGTATGAAACCTATCTTTTTTAAAAGTTTTTTTTTTGTAGTTTTAACGCGAGCGAAGCCGCGGGTTCTGCTAGTTCTTTATAAGTTAGTAGATAATAATAATAATATATTATACACTTTAGACTAAAAATCAATTATTTTTTAATATACATTCTATACACAGTAAGGCAATAAACTCTTATCTACGAATATAAGAGCTATTTGTTTAACTTTATCTCTTATTGAATTATGTATGCATAATATTCTGTTTAAGTTTGTATGTTGCAATCACATTGACATCAGCAAATGATTGATAGGAGAACATATTATGAATATAAATGTGTTTATCCTCACCCATCCTTAACATGATCATTACATTATATAATTATTTTTAGAACTATTATAAAATGACTGAGCAAGTGAAGTGTCTCTGCTTGAAGTCTGGCAAAATTTGCTTTACTCATTCAGTTTGTTGGTACTCCTGTACAGGTCGTATTTTACAACCGATCTGGACAAAACTTGGTATACAGTTTTTATGACTTTATAGATTTTTTTTGCCATCAAGGATTTTTGATTTGAGGGGTACTACCTCCAAAACGGGCAATAAGGGGGCTATTGGATACCTCCACCTTGTGAGATCAGATTTTAATGGTTCTTTTTTTTTTATTTGAAAGGCAGTATCTTTAAGTTAGTCTCATAAAAATAGCTCCTCAAAATGCAGTTTGTTTCCATGAGGTCTACTGTTTGCATAACTACTAGTATTTTTGAAACAGTTACTTTAAAAAAAATATCAATAAATATCTTGAAATTGATTGTATTAGTATTTAAAAGATACACTTCTCAATCATAAAATTACCTTCATGTACAGTTCCTCCATAGACACCACTATGTAAATCCATCTTGGCACACTCTATCTCTAAGAAATAGTAGCTAATTCCTCGTAAGCCATATGTAATGCATGGCTTTGTTGTTCCCAACCAATAGTTATCAGATATGCATACATAGTCAACCGAGTCAAAGAATCCTTCAGGCTTTAGTTTTTCCATAAGTAACTCATCTAGACCTTCGGACCCAGATTCTTCCATACATTCAAAAATAAATTTCAAGTTCACAGGCAACTATTAAGAAAAAATTACAACTTATTCAGGAATCCATTGATAGAAAATAAAATAGCATATTGTAAACTAAAAAACATAAGATATTAAAAATATATGAATGTTATTTGCCAATTCATTAGGTACTAAATAAATATTTATTTAAACAAGTGTATATTAAACAGATTACAGAATAGACAATGTATAAATATACTATAACATAATTTAAACTTACTTCATCACCAACACCTTTATAAGCATTGATGGCATGTAACCAGCCCAATACAGGACCTTTATCATCGGTAGATCCTCTTCCATAAAGTTTGCCATTTCTTTCTTCTAGCTCAAATGGTTCAGATTGCCAGCCATCTGATTTGAGAGCTGGTTGAACATCTAAGTGGCCATAGATACAGATTGTATTTTTCTTTGGATCCTAAAAGAATATGTCGTCATCATTAGTATAAGCATACATTAGCAGTTATAACAACACTAATAAAAAAATATTATTAAAGCAAACTTACATTTCCTAAAGAACCAACTAACACAGGAGGTAGCTTTACTTCAACTCCATCCAAAACTTGAAAACCAATATCTCTTAATTCTGTCGAAGCTCCTACTTCTCTTAATTTCTCTTGCATCCATTCCACCATACGAACACAATCACCGCGGTGTTTAGCGTCACTTGACACAGATGGAATTGCAACAGCCTCTTTTAAAAGTTGTTTATAAGATTCTTTGTTCTGATCGACAAACTTAAAGATTTGAGGCAATGTTTTTTCAGCTGCCATTTTTGGCACTTCTTTATAAGTTACTGAATAACGACGATAAATGGGGCGTAATCTATTTACTGTTGCCGTCAATGCAATTGCCGGCAAACTAGAACCGCAGCAAACACGTAATGATTTAGTAAGCAAAGACGACATTTCGAAATGTATGACATTTGACATTACAATGACATAAGACATTGACAATGACGGTACTACGACAGTCTTGCTATTAAAAATAATAAAAAAAAATGTTGCGTAAGCTTAAAACTTAATTCATTACGAATTTAGAATAACTCCAATGAATAATATATTATTACAAAATTGTGCAAAGCTTTAGTTATACATTCGATTAATTTATAACAATTTTGATTGCGCCATTTTTTTCTTCACAACTTGATTCATTTAATTTTCTTAAGGCATAATCAAAAATATTCCACCTTTACGAATCATTTATTTAATTATTTACCTTTTTTAACCAAGAGATATACGTATAAGCACATTTTGATAGGCTTATAAAATTATTTAATTTAATGTAAAATAAATGACACCAGTGACAAATATAATCTAAGCAAAGTTTAAAAAAAATAACGTACACACTACAAAATGTCTAAAAAAATGTGATTAACATATTATTTTACAATATTTGCAATAAAAAATAATAATGTAATAGGTAACTATATAAACTAAAATTTTTATAAAAATCAAATTAATAATGATGTAAAAAGCGAAACTAAAGAATATACATGTACGTAACACTGTACTTATTAAATATAATGCTTACACTTTATCAATAAACAAAAATATTAATAACATCGCTTTATTTTCTTTTTGACTATGGAAGTAAATATTCAACATTACATTTTAAAGCAAACCCGAAATAGAACTACGAGAAGAAGAACTAAAAGAAAGCAAAGAAATCCCTGTCTGCGTAATGAGATTTTTCTTTCAAACCAAATATTATGTAACAAAATTTTGTACACATCAGGAATAAAGAAAATTAGAGAAGAAAATCACAGGAATATCCTAAATTTACATTTAGAAACACAAAATAAACAATTACAATTGAATAGTTTATATCCTAATTATGTACAGACAACCAATAATAAAATATTTCAGTATGATACTCATTATAATGATGAATTTACCGTTTTGCAATTAAACATGTCTGGAGTTATGTTTGAAATTGGAGATGAGATATTTTTATCTATTATTGGATCACTAAGACTTGCAAAAAAAACATCGCCTTTTGATGTCACTAGAGTAAATATTACCACAAAAAAAATTATATTGATTCGTCATAGTAAGTCTGGAATTAGAATGTTATGCTTCAAGCATCAAACAGAAGAAAAAGATAGTCCAAAGCTAATGAAAATGATTAAGATGGTTAAACATGTAACAACTAATTTTGATAGTGACAATAAAGCAAAGATGGCTTTACGTAAATTATTTATCTTTTGGTTCTTCCAAAATATAAGTTTAGGACTTCTACTGCGTACCATTCTGAAAAACAATTACATATACATATTTAAAGTCATAAAAAGGAACAATTTTGCCATTATAAAATTCTATGAAAACTGTGGATTAAAGATTAATTTTTATCTGTGTACATTTGCATTAGATAGTATATATTTTTTACATAATAATACACATACTTTAAAATTTACAATAATATTTGAAGCTGAAATATTGAAATTAAATGTAGATAATTACTTCAATAGGTTCCAGAAAGATAACAGAGAATATGAATCTACTCCTATTATTATGCGGCCATACTGCTTCACACTTTTACATAGATACCCAAAAGATTTTTTGATAGAATCTGGAACAAATACTGTTGAAAGTATTTACCAACAGGAAAAAGAAAATATTGTAATAGATACTATTAGTACCAATCGTTATTTCGATTTTTTAAACAGTAGATTATGGCTGCCTTATTTATGTGGCGATACTTATGATGATAAAATTGGTTATATAGCATACTTACTAAAATGTAGTTGTCTCAATGACCCGAAGCTTAATTTGGATAATATTGAAACATATTTAAATCAGACAGCTAATATTTTAACCTCATTAACATTTAATAGAATATTTTTTAAAGATCTAGGCAAGGCTTTAGCTTACCTATTTGTCAATATATTTTAAATGAGAATTCACTGTAGAAGGTCATAAAATTGGAATATTTAAAAAAAATATGTACATGAAAAATACAATGCATAATGTTTAAATTCAACTATTTCGGGAAATTTAAAACATTTTAGATTTAAGTAGTTAGAGACATTTTTATAGTCAAAATAAAAATCAGAAGAAATTGAATTATTATTTATTATTCCTAGAGAAAATAAGATAAACAACATTTCCTTTTATATTATGAAAATAAATTTAAGGAGATCAATTAAATATAATGATTTTTGTTATAAAAAAAGTGTTGCTGCTAAACTAACTTGAATGCAGGCATTTTTGTTATTATTTATAAAATAATTTATTAACTTATTGCTACATTTTGAAGTTCACTATAGTAGTAAAGCTGTTATTATTTTAGCTTAATATTGCAGCTAATCTATTCCCTTTGAACTTCACAGAATCTTCCTATATTTTTTTCTAGAATCCTATGTTCTGCCTTCTACTTCTTAACAGTTTACAGTCCTTATTATCCTGTAAAAAATAATAAATATTAATTTCATTGTTTAAACAACTAATATTTAGTCTACAAGTAAATGCAACTTGCATTATTAAATCTCTTCTACTGATTTTTAGTTCAGATTGTTATCACTGCATAGGCATAAAACAAAAAATGTCATTTTAATCTATCCAAGAGTTCTCAATTAAACAGACAGAGAGATATTTTTTAATCTAAAATTTATTATTTTCTAACTAATCCTAAATATCCCAAAAGTTTTCAGGGTTAGAGTTATGTCTTCGTCGGAGGTCGCGGGCGAGTCCCACTCGGAAGAAATATATTGACCGTTTAGTAATTATTTATCATATTTATTAGTTTAGCAAATATTTGATAGATCCTATAGGATATTATAATTTAAAAGACAACGTAGTGGGAACCGTTAAATAGTAATAATAATTTTCTCCCGACCTTTTTCGAATTACTACGACTAATTGAAATTAACGGAGAAGATATTATGGTGGGCAAATTTGAGCGGAAGAAAAAGAGCAATAAGCGAGTGCTTTCTGAGGCATGGATTACACTCCAAAACTTCCTTCTAACTTCCGAGTTTTAACTTTTAGCTTAGCTGAATATCATATGGCAATCCAGCTGAACGTGTACCCAAGAAACGCACTTGGGATCTGGCCCATCTCGGTGGGCGGTTACTTAGCAGGTTGCTCCTGGTACTTTTTTTTGCTCTTGGTGGTTGTATTGTCTGCTTCGGCAGGCCAGCCATTGGAGCGTCGTTGTTGAGTGCGTAAGACGACCCATTGAGACGGGGATGATTCCGATGGGTTTTAGGTGGTAGTACTGGCTTTTCTAGTTCACATGCGCACACCTACATGTGTATGCATGCCACCTATGCGTTTCCAAAGTGAAAAAATTACCCAGTAGCATCTCCGTGGTACACGGCATCATCAGTGAATATGAGGTCGCTATGCCTCTGCAGCCAGTATGTGAGCGCGGCGGCGGCCAGCGTGGCGGCGGCGCCGGTGACGGCGGCGAGACGCGCGCCCGCGCCCGTCGCGCGCACGAACACGCGCGCCCACATCGCCTGCCACACCGACTCCGTCCATGTTGAGAACTCGCCGGACGACATGTCGTAGTCTAGTTGTGAATATTTAATGTTTAAGATGTCTGGCAGATATAAAAGAGTGGCAGATTGTAAAGAAGTTTAATGAACTTTTCGTTATTATAAATTAAATGGTTGTCATTCGATTTGATTTGATGGTTGTAAGAAATTGTCGTATATACATATTTGGCTATGTAAATAATGACTTCACTGCACAACATAAAACAATTATATAATAAATTGAATTTTACATTATCGGAAGCTATCAAATAGCTTTTATTTAATATAAAGTCTATTATTTTTACTAGTTTACGATCGTAAATTTAATTAAGCACTTTTCATAAGAATATGATAAGCTTCGAACCTGGTTTAACAAAAGCTGGACTGATAGCTTGACTGAAGTTCATCGTAGTCTGAATACATACACCAGTGCGGTTCCAACCTTTCAGCCAGTAATGAGAAAAGCCCTGAAATAGCACAACTAATTATAATAAAAATTGACAAAAACAAACAAAGCATTTACAACATTTATAACCTGAAACAATATTTTACACAACATAGACTACAACAAAAGTTAAAAAACTTCTACTACAATATGAGCTAGTATGAGCGAGTTCGACCTACCGCCAGCGTTTCACCTATCAGAATAAATACCTCGAAGGGTTGCGGAACCTCGAAGTGGACTCACCGGTGCCTTAACCTTATTGCAAGCGTGTCTACTGAGTTTGTGGCGAGTGCCGGTGAGCAAGGCCAGCAGGCGGGCGGCGCGCGCCGCGCCCGCGCCGCCGCGCCGCGCCGACCCCACGTATAGCGGCAGGGCCAGCCTTGGCACGGTCCTACTTGCCCGCTCGCGCGCTATCTGACAATGCGACACGACATGTGAACCCGTGAACACCCACCATTATTCAAACCAATCTACTCAAACTATAACTCATCACTTACCTTTGAATGGCCCGTGTGCGTTAAAACAAAAACAACTTACTGTTTCATCAAAACACAACAAACTATAACGGTTGATCTATCATATATAGGCGATCAGGTGTCCTGAGCTGGAATACGGGCGGCGCTCTAAGTGTAGCTATAGTAGCGTCTAGCGATTCAGAATACATGATCGCCCGCGTGTCGCGGTGGAGGGTGGGGCGGCGGGGGCGTGTCTCACCTCGAGCTCGTACTTCTCGCAGGAGCCGCGGTCGAGCAGCAGCTGCGCGCCGGTGAGCAGCGTGATGAGGTGGCCGGCGTAGAGCGCGGGCGCGGAGGCCCAGGTCGCCACGCCCACGTACAGCGGCGCGGCGCGCGCCGCCGCCGCCTCGTCGCCGCCCGCGTAATCCGCCGCCGCTAACAGCCGGCACGCCGGGCTGCGCAGGAAGCAGTACAGCATCTCGTCCACCTACGACACACGATCACGATACACATCATACGATCAACATACATTCATATATCACATTAACATTAGGTGCGTTTGTTACTTCTTTGCGCTGTAAAGGTATAAAAGATTTAATAAAATATCAATGTTGAAAATTATCCAGACTAATAAGTCAATAAAAGTTTTTATTACGTCTTCCCGAGTCGAAGGCTCCAAAAACCAGGTAAAAAGACCCTTTTTTAACCCCCTACGCAAAAAGAGGGGTGTTTGTCGTCGATGTACGTGTGCGCGTGTGTGTGTGTTCATGCGCGCGTGCGCGTGTGTGCGTGCGCGTGCGTGCTTGCGCGCGTGTTCGCGCGTGCATGCGTGTGCGTGTCTGTGGCATCGTAGCTCTCAAACGGATGGACCGATTTCGATGCAGTTTTTTTCATTTGAAATCCAATTTCCTTGCGATGGTACTTAGATATGTTTGGTTAATATCGGTGTAGCAGTGTAAGAGTATCAGCTCTTTTCCAAAATGAGGTATTTTGGCGTATGATTACTCGATTAACTGCTTCACGCGTGCCATTGTAATCGTTAAATGACTTTTTTTAGTTTTTTTATATTTAGTACATCTATAAATAAATGAAAAAATAAATAGAAATTATTTATATTTTGTAACGATTTAAATCAAGTCATCAAAAGACGCTTTTTGAGCGCCTACATGGCTAAATAATAAACATCTGCGCACATCACGTTTCAATCACGCGCCGACGATTATGCGTATGATGAAAATAAGTCGTCTGTCTGCGCATCATTCTGCGAGGATAACCTAAATGCAGATTACTTGCGTTTGTATCAACACAAACTGGAGATAGTTAATAAATCGTGTTCACAGGCCTTTAACTTTTCGAGAAATAAATTTACTCTAAATTAATTTTTTATACAACTGATTGGATACACACCAAATGAGCCGAAGCAGCCACGTCTCCAGTGTAAGGCCTGCCAGTGACCTGTTGGTAGAGAGTCTGCGCTAAAGACGTCGCTAGACGGGCTATCTTTATTTGCGCTTCCGTATCTTTCATTATGCCTTTGGAAAGCAGTTCCGACGTAGACAAAACTGGGGAAAGAATATTATATATTTAACACAATACAGAAACTAGCAAAAAAAGTATTATAAAATGTTTAATATAAAAGTCTTATCCTCATTTTATTTAAAACATATTATCGACAAAAAGATCGATGTTTTAGAAAAATTAAAATCAAATTCAATGCATATAATTTTTCTACGTAAAACCAGATAATAAGAAATTTTAATGATTTTTTTAATACTATTTGATGGTACATTTAAACTCACTGTTAACTATAGACACTATTGCCTTTTTTTATTAGTGCCTTAAAAGTAGGTATTTAATTTAGATTAAAATAAATAAAATCGATATAATTAACTTTAACTTATAAAGATTTTCCTTTTTTTTCCAGTTTATTTATTAATGTTTATAATTAATATTTTAAAAAAGTAACAAATAATTTAAGTGAAGTACTCACATTGACCCTCGCTACCGATACTTATATTGTGGTACACAAAGCCAATAGACTCATGGTCGTCCAAAGCAGACTGATAGAACTTATTGGTGAATGTTTCCTTATAGTCCACAATTAGTACCTCTGGAAGGAGCCCGCTTTCCGTTTCATTGCTAAGTATACGTCGAAACGAGTGCAAGGAAGATGGCGGCAAATTAATATTAAATTCGGGCACAATGGTCAGGTTGTTTTGATTTGTATTTGTTAACATTTCTTGGAGAAATTTATTTACCTGAAATAAAATTGTATTTTGTTAACAATACACTGTATTTTTTTTATTCTTCTAAAGTTTAACACCTCCAGGTAAATTTCAAGAATTTAATTAAATTTCTAAGAAATCTATTGTTAACTGTAACGCCGGCGTGTCCGCGGTCGTGGAGGGATTATGCAATTTTCATCGTGAAATAACTGATATTAGAAGAACCAGTGAAGCAAGTTGTATACAAATAAATCTACTTAATATAAATCTGAACTCCATATACTATTGAAAAGCAAACGCAATGCACATATCTTTACTTAGTCTAAGAGTATAACATAATTATACGAGAAGATCACTTAAACAGAGAATGCAAGTTTGTATGAAGAAAAGTTAGGAATTAAAATTGATTTTGAAGCTTCTGGGTAAATTTCCGCTTGGACTTATTGCTTGTATGGGATATAAAATTTTAAACCAAAACTTACCTGTGATGGTATTTTATAAAACTGATCGTATGGAGCGTATGCGTACAAAGGCCAAGAAGCGTTGTCCTTAAATAACTGAAAGGAGCCTCCAATTTGCCCAAGTTCTATGTGCAAGTCGATGTCACTAGGGGATAGCGGGGATAAAGGGGGCCACGCTCGTCTAGCGATATCGTACGCTACACGCTGGGATCCGATATAATCAAACGATTCTCCATTGAAAAACGTCCAGAGCACGTTTTTATCTAAAGAATAACACAAAATATCCATTATTGCTATGTGATGTGTATGTCAGAAGTACTGAGTGTAAGTACACTTTCCACGAAACTATCATAAAACATAAAATTTAGTCATAACGTGTTGGTCACGGGAGAGTGGTGACCATGATTGCTGTAACGCATTCGAAACGTTCGGAACCCAAAATTAAAATAAATCCACAAAAAAAACCCGAAAAAGTTAGTTTCTTTAAAAATGTCAGATATTCGCGTTAATTGAAAAAAAAAGTACAATAAACGCTAGATATTTATTCAATAAGTGCTGAAGTCCGTTTATTTTCATCACTTTTGCTAACTTTTTTTCATAAATGGTACACGTCACAAATATAATTTTGTATTATAAAAAAATCAAAGCTATAAAATAAATAGAGAAATAAAACAGATTTTTTTATATATCTATACAAATAAATAAAATTGAAGTATTTGTAATGTCAAAATAACGGTTTTAAATAAATGAATACGATATTTATAAGAAAAAATTACTGACTTTCACTGGCAGATACCTGATGTTATAAGGGGTAACTTAAGCTACTTTTATTTAAAAAGAAGAATCTCTGAAATTCTATGAAAATCTATGAAATTGTGATCAAAATCCGCGTACTTAGGGACACACCTGAGGGAGGTTAAGTCGTTAGTACACGATAAAATAACATTCTTACCATAAAAGTCCATATCAGCAACAGGGATCATTTGCGCTAGAGCGGTGGCAGCGACCATTTGCGTCACCATCCCCACTACAGAGCTGGCGGCACCAGGCGCAACGCCTGCAAATGAAACATAATAAACATGTTCCTGTGTGACGTATGTGTTTGTTACCCCTTCAAATTGGAAAGGCTGAAATTAGGTTACTTATGTCGCTAATGATATATAAAATACTACTCACACATTAATCACGAAAACTCAAAAATTGTAGTGTAGAGGTGGAATGTCCGTACATAGAAAAAAAATGCTAAAAACCGAATCAGGGGGATGTTAGAAGAGAATTAGAACAAATCCAGATTTTTTCTTTTTTTTTATTTCTTTGTCTGTCTGTTTGCACGGGTTAATCTCCGAAACTGTTAGACCGATTTAAATGAAATTTTGTATGGTGGTACCTTATATCCCCGGTCAACATTTTATATATACTCTTTAATGCACATAAAAAAGCAAATGAAGGGAAGCAATTCAGTATGAGTCACTAGTATACTATACAAATACTGGATTAACATAAAGACTTCTTCTTATTTAAATAATTACCATGCGAGTGGAGCTATCCCGAGTGTTAGTTATAATCTATTATAAATTTAGAATTAGTACAGGATTCTTGATCCTTTGACAATAAAAAAATGAGATTAAAATGAATAAAATAAATAGGTCTTGAATCAATTTTGGTATTAATATCTAATTCACATATTGATGTAAGATACCAGCAGTTGTTGAGAAAAAAGCCTTAATTCTGAAAAGAATAACTAGAAGCATACACAAAAGTAGCCTTATATCTTACTTTTTGTTTTTTTTTTTTTTATTTATACAACACTAGGGACTAACCCTCGCTCATCTCGGGTTCGTCTCTAGTAACGTTTTAACGTTTAACTCAGAGATGAGATATTTTCCCGCAGAATTTCATCAAAATCCTGAGTGTTTTTTTTGTGATGCGGTCACAGACAGACAGACAAAAACTATAGATTCGGCCTCTGTATCGACAACAATAACTATTTCAATAAAATTTTCCAAAAAATATTTAATGTACAGATTTGACTCAGTTAAAACTTTATTGTATGTATAGATTAAAAATTGACAAATTTTGTCTAATATAGAAATAATTTGGAGGTAATCACAATTTCATTTTTATTATTTTTCTAAATCAATTAAAAAATGCTTATTTTACAATAGTTCAACAAACCATCAAATAGGGATGCAGAATCAATTCGTGCTGTTACTAGGGTGACCGGTTTCTTCTTTGTTTCAGATTCCTAAAACAGATGAAACATACAGATTATTCATTCATTGAATAAGGTATTTTTTACTTATATTTGTAATTCTTTATATAAATTTTGATAATGTTAATTTTTGTTTAAACATCCTACTGATATTATAAATGCGATAATTTGAGAGCATGTGTCAATGTATATCTGTTTCTCTTACATGCAAAAACTACTGAACAGATTTTGATGAAACTATAGTAATATATCATATACATAGGAGTAGCACATGGGTTATAGTTTATAAATATATAGTCATACTAAATGAAACTACAAAGACAGATAGATTTTTGTAATAATAACATCAAACAAACCTTTGCACGAGGAAAGAGTGAATAGTACACATTGTAGTCACCAAGCGGGTCGCACACTTTTGTTGAAGTCAAAATAGCAGAGGTAGTTGATCTATTAACAGAAAAACCGTTTTTACATCATAAAACCTTGAATATCATATGTATTTAGCCCTTTTTTGAACATCCCTCTGCTGGGCACGAGCCTCCCTTCCATACGAGGCAGATCAGGCCATACTCCACCACTCTGGCCAAGTGCGGGATGGCGGACTTTACATGTCTTCCGAAAACTTCCTAGGTTCTCTAAGACATGCAGGTTAGCTCACGATGTTTTCCTTCACCGTAAGGCAAGTGGTAATCATGTTAGAAATGATTCGCATATGAAAATATCAGAGGTACAAGACCCGCGATTTGAACCCGTTTCACTCGGTCTCCCAAGGGAGCATGTTACCACTGGACTACCACTGCCTTTTTGAATATCTTTAAGAATATCATATAAAGAAAATATATTCAAGCAGTAAATACAAATACTAAATGAAAAAGTGAACTTTTAAATAACCAGATAAGTTGAAAAGTAAACAAAAATACAGAACACCTTCCATGTGTACATTAGATTTATCTAAAAAGAGACAAAAGGAAACTTTGTTGCGAGACAAGCAATCTTAAGTTTTTTTTTCATTTAATTATATTAATGTATTTACAGAATTAATTAATTAACTAACCTTCTTAGACATACTGCACTGTTGACAGCTGCATACATAAATGAGTTCAATTGAAGTGAGCACAAAGGCTGTCCTTTTTGGTTATCTAAATCTGAATTATATCTGAAATTAAATTGTATATATATACACATTATTAGAAATACATCAAAGGATAGTTTAGTGCTTCTGCATACTAAGTTAATACAATACATTAATTATAGTATAGTTACTTTTCGAAACATTCTTTAATTTTATCAATTTCTGTTATACGAGGTTGTGGTAAGAAAAATATAGGAAATGGAATATCTCTTCTTATTAGATCTGTGCCTTTTTCATTCCAAACAATTCCACCAATATGGCTAAAGGAGCACTGAGTTCCTGGCCCAACAGAGTATTCATTTGGACATCTAGATTCTTGACTGAAAGCATCTGGTCTAAAATAAAAAAAGATATATAAACATTTGTAACATAATATAACATATAATTTCATAAATGTGAAACTAATTAATAATTACAAATATACGTAATAATCATTATCTATCATCATATATAAAAATCATACCTTATAGAAGGATTATCATACAGTAATATCCCAGCAACATTTTCAGGATTCTTCATTAATAACTCGATAATATCATAGAACACTACTGTATCTACAATAGCCATGTAAGGCCCAGCACTAGCATTATACACAAGCCACTCTGCATCAGAAGTGTTTTGAATCATGTGAACCACTCCTATGCCACCACTTAGTGAAGCTGAAAATTTTTTTTATTATTTGAGATTAAATTCAGCAGAAGACAATTTTTTTGTGGTTATTAGCAACTGGTGACTATTTCCAATCAATTAATAGTCAATGGAAACCACTTTATGAACAGGAGATATGTTCAAATGTAGGTGAAGTCCATTTTATGTAAAAAAAATGCTGCATAAAAGAAGGACAAATCAATTCTTTCTCATCCATTTTAGACATAATATTTCCATTAAGTATTACTTTCATTCAAATTAATATTACTAACATGAACATCCTGCTTGATGTGTTCCATTCAACCTCCTGAAACATGCAGCCCCACCTTCAATGGACGAGTATATTTGTTCGTGAAGCCTTTCACATAAAATCCCTGTAATAAGTTAAGCAGCAAATTAAAAATACATCGTATTTAATATACAACATGATTAAGAACGAATTTAAGAAAGCTTTCATAATTTAATATTATACATAACATAAATTATTTAATAATTGTAGTACCACTTATAAATAGAAGAAATAACGAGCAAATATAATAAATATGCATCTTTAAACATTTATTGCTATCTTATAGTTTGAATCTTATTTGTATACTCATTTCAATATATTTATTTCAGCGAAATCAAATCAAATAGATATCACTCGATAACATTTATGACAAATGTATAAATGACATTTCTGATTTGCTTTAATACACCGATGACGGTGACACATAGAATATATTGCTACATTGCGGTGACACTCGTGAACACAGACCAGAACAACTTTATAAATACCTTTATGGTGACAGACTAGCTATGATAATTTATGGTATTTGGTAAACATAAATAATAAAAAATATATAATGGTAAATATCTAATTGACTTCTTGTCCTATCAGACCAGGGCTGAAGCCTTTGAAAATGGTAAAAAGTGAAAAAAATAATAATAGAGGATTAAACCCTTTGGAAAAGAAAGAGAATATAACAAAAATAAAAGGAATAATAAAAAAATTACGAGCTGTCTCATGTCGGGAAGTGGGAGAGGGTGAGTTTTTAACCACTTGAACCCCGCTGGTGCCTATAGGCACCATTTCCGGCGTTACTGTATCACCTCGCCTGCTGCACTTTAATCACTTATTACACGACGAAATTAATTTATTTTATGCTCAATGAGTGATACACGCAAACTTTAGAAGTTTTATTAACTATATAATATAATAAAATTTTAATTAAATGCTGACAAAATTAAAAACAAACGCATCAAAAATTGTTTAAATTTTAACTGAAGCGCGCGTGATTCGCTATTGTTTTTGTGTAATTTAAAATATTTAAACTAGTGAATTTGTGCCGTAAATGTATGAATATTCATTGTTAGAATTTTTTGCGACTATTGAGAGACTAATAAGTGTATAATCACGTTATAAAAGTAGTTTTTTGGTTCAACGAATTTTGATATATAAAATTCGTAAAATAAGTCGCCATTATATAGCATGAATTTTGACTTTTATTCTCTGCTTTGGTGCCTCATGAAGGTAAATTACTAAAGAAAAACTAATATAATTTCATATTTTCAATTGTTTGTAGCATATTTCAATAGTTTTATTATATAAATTATGTTTATTTACAAATAATACCTATAAGCTGTCAAATTTGACATTTTGAACTCTCATCAAAGACCAGTTAGACATTGACACATGTCGATATGTGCTATCGATAATATCGATATTTTAATATAAATATTATATGTTGAAAAAGTAAGATTGTTTTTTTACTTTTTGTTAGACACAGTGGAGAATATAATGCAAAAAAATACTCATATATTTTATAAAAAATGGTTGGTACAGAGCCTAAATACAAAGTCAAACGTATTATACGACACTATAATAGGAATACAAAGACGCTCGTCTGTATCTATATAAATAAAAAAGAATGGCAAAATGTTGCTAAGCTCAAAATTCTATAACGGCATTATATAATAATATATTCGTTGGGGAAGGTTCTTATGAAGAGAAAAATTAGAAAAAAATCACGGAAAAACGTAAAAATCACATTTTTCTTTTTCCTTACTACTACATTACAATAATGAACGCAACCTTACAATTAATGCAAACTATTTGGATGCATTTGTATATTTGACACTCTGTCTTTCTACGATATACAATTTGACGTTGAATTTATTTGTTTGTTTGTCCTCCTTTCACGTCGAAAGAAAATGCCAGATTGTTGTAGTTTTTGTGTCAAAATAGTTATAGGGCTGGAGAGTGAAATAGGCTACTTTTTACTATGGGAGATTATCTCGTTTCTACTGGAAAACAAGTTATATCTATTCCACGCCGGAGCCAAGCGAGGGTGAGTGGCTAGTCTTAAATAAAATAAGCGTTCCTTAACTGTCTCGTCGGACTACTAGTAGTGTAAAATGCTATAGAAGTAGTATATATTATTGAGTTGTTCTGCTGAGAAATACTCAGTACTAATAGTTTAGGAAAGTGTGTACCATTTGAGAGGTTTCAAATATTGTACTTATATTGTTCTTCACATTGTTCAACACTAGAAGAAACTAAAACTATAAGAGCTTTATTATTAAACTTCTCTTTCTAAAATTATTATTTCAAAATAAAAAGATAGGGGCATATAAAACTACATGAAAAATGAAAAATAACAGCATATAATCGGTATAAGTATTTAAATTCAGATATATATTTGTCTTTTTATATACTTTTAATGTTAATTATTATTTAAAAAATATATGTGAGTGGTTTTTGTGATATGGTATCTTTTTAGCTACGGGCATTTGTTACATACAAAAATTGTCACTTATTTGTCATAGAAATACAATAAAATACAAATCAAGTTGTACTACTCATGAAAAGAGTATTGTAGATGAATAAACAATATATAAAGTTATTTTTTTTCGTAATACATGTATTGCATAATGTATTAAAATACATAAATTATTTTTTTCACATAAATTATTTTTTCTCGTAAGAGCTAGGCTAGCTTGCGTGCCAAAACTTGAAATCTTGCATTTATTAGATTTTTTATAACAATAATTTTATTTATGTCATATTTTTATGAAAATTGAAAAATAACTTTATTTAATGATTTTGAATCTAATTTGTCCAAAAAATTACATTATTTTATTGCACTTTTTTGATTTTTTAAATACGTAGTTTTTTATTGTTATAAACGAATATAAAAATTGTTAGTTTATGTGTGTTTAGCCGTTCACAAAAATAATCGATAGTTTTTACACATTTACTTTACATATTGTACATGGGTGATTGGGTGCATCACTACGCATCTAAATATTATTAGTAAATTATTTTAGTCAACTTCACATGTTTAAATGTTTAGTTTTTTGAATGAAAAGTGTTAAGTTTTCATATATGTGATAATGCTTAGCTTGTTCTTGTACAATTTTTTTTTTTTTTTGTTTTATAAGGAAATCTGCAAGCAGTATTTACTTTTAGCAGATATGTTCTAAGATTTTTTTTTTACAGTAAGAGCGTGACTCCACTGAGCCATCTACTCCATATTTATATACTTTTTTTTTTTTTTCAATAATCTAGGATATCATTCCTTTTGAGTCTTTTTGTGTAACTTCTTTTTGTTAGGGCAGTTGCAAGGTCATTTGGATGCCTCTCTAGTCGGTCGCGATAATTGGTTTTATATTTCTTTATTTCAGCAGCTACAGTATCCACCATAAGATTCTCGTGGATTTCGTTGTTGGTGATAAGCCACGGTGCTTGGCAGATTGATCGCAGTATGGCATTTTGTGCTCTTTGAATCACGGTGATATTGGATTTGCAGGCGCTTCCCCATAATTGAATTCCGTAAAGCCAAACAGGTTTCAGTACAACCTTGTATATCAAGAGTTTGTTGTCGAGACTTAATTTGCTGTTTCGTCCCATGATCCAATGCAGGTTCTTGAATCTGATATTAACCTCACACCTCTTGGTTTTTATGTGGTTCTTCCACGTTAGACGGCGGTCGAGATGCATTCCCAAATATCTAACGTTATCTTGATGCGAAAGCGTGGTATTTTCAAGCTTGACTGGTGGACAGTTACCTTTTCGGAGTGTAAAGGTAACCTGAACTGATTTACTTGCACTCGCCTTTATACGCCAGTTTTCCAGCCATGTTGTGATATTGTCTAAACTTGTCTGTAGCATGTGCGATGCCATGGTAGGGTCTTTGTGGCTTGCTAACACGGCAGTATCGTCGGCATAAGTTGCTGTGGTTACTCCTTCAGTTTGGGGTAAATCTGCAGTGTACAACGTGTACAAGAGCGGTCCCAGGACTGACCCCTGCGGTACCCCAGCCTTAATTTCAAAGAACTGCGATTTTGCATCCGCGTCTTTTACCTGACCCATCCTGTCTGTAAGGTATGATTTTATTACGGAGTAGTACTGGTGAGGCAAGTTGATTTTGAGCTTATAGAAGAGTCCTTTATGCCAGACCTTGTCAAAAGCCTGTTGGATGTCTAAGAACACAGAAGAGCAATACTGCTTTTCTTCAAAACTCTTTCTAATTTTATCGCATACTCTATGCACTTGTTCAACAGTGGAATGCTCTTGCCTAAAGCCGAATTGATGGTCAGGTATGACTTTAGCGTCGTTCAAAATGGGCAGAATTCTATCCATCAGTAACTTCTCAAACACTTTGGAGAGGATCGGGAGTAAACTTATCGGCCGATATGAAGATACTTCATTTGGCTGTTTTCCTGTCTTATAGATCATAATGATTTGGGAAATTTTCCACGCCAAAGGAAAATACTGGATTCTCAGTACAGCATTAAACAAAGATGTTAAAAATACTATAGCTTTTCTTGGTAATTGTTTTAGTATTTCTTTTGTAATAAGATCATATCCAGGAGCTTTCTTGTCTTTCATTTTTGAGATGACCTTCCAGACCTCTCGCACTGTGAAGGAGCGTGGTGGTGGTGCCATCTGGAAATCTTGAAGTACTTTATCTATATCTTCTTCGTTCTTCAAGTTTACTGCCGAGTTTGGAGTGAAGACTTTTTCCAAGTGTTTGGAGAAAGTGTCAACCTTTTCCTGCGGTGTTCTTGTACAATTGAAGCTAAATTTATATACCGAAACGTTAATTACAATGCAACACGAGCGTCTGTAAAAAATAACCTCAATTTTTCTCTCTTATTAGAAATCCATCCGAATTTTAATTACAGTGGCTTATTATCATGATTTATTGGTGCATGTTTTTAAGTAAGGACTATTCTGTATTTTAGTATTATTTTTATTAAGAATCGAAACATTATAACTCGGTTGTTTGTTTTGAAAATTGCGCGATGAGCTGCGCAAATACAACGAACGAGCCGCGAGTGCTTCTTCTTCTTCTTCTTCTAACACGGCTTTTTCCGCACTTAGGCATCCGCGAGCGCTATAAAGTTTTGAATTTGGTTGTTAGTCACAACTAATATAAATAAATCAAAGAATGGTTTTGTGCGATTACATGTATATTCATAAAATAGTGTTTCAAATTTAGTGTAAATACAGACCGTCGTATTGTCAGAAATCAATATAATACAACAAATAGTAAATATTCAGCTAACACTCATATATTATTTGTTAGCTTATTTATAATTCATCAATAGTTAAAAAGTGTATTTTACATTTTGTTATAAATGCTCAGATTATTACAAAACCCAAAACAGCAAAAAGATTTTAAATCGATGCTATATAATTTGAATTACGAGTGTTTTTTTATGTAATGGTTGTATCGAAGAAAAAATGACGCGCGGGCTCGGTGTTTAACGGGTGTTGCTGTCAAAAAACGCGGGGTACTAGTGGTTAAAAGTAAATTGCGGTTTATTTCGATTTCCGGCAAAACTACAAGTCCTATGGAAAAAAGTTAAATGGAAAAGTTGTAGATAGTAAAAAGATCTACAGCTTTTGTATTTACACCTTTTTCATATAACCTCAAAATTAATGTGAAAAATTGGAATAACCAAGTTTTTGGTTTTTTATTTTTATCTTTTACAAAAATTTTTTTACTAAATTTGGTGAAAACTTACCTTTTTATGTCCCAAGCACACTGTAACTTTTTTTATTTAAAATATTTATTTTTTCAGCTTATTTTGATTATATATATTAATATTTATATTATATAAATATTTTTCGAAGAAAATTTACCAAAAGATTCAAAACATTGTTGAATTTTATTGAAATTTAATTAATAAAAATTTAACATATTGTATCAGCCTTTTTTTTAACGTCCCACTTGTTGCTAAGTTCTCTCGGACATGCAGGTTTCCTCACGATGTTTTCCTTCACCGTAAGGCAAGTGGTAATCATGTTAGAACTGATTCGCACAATATCAGAGGCGAGACCCAGGATTTGAACCCGCTTCACTCGGTTTCCCAAGCCAGCTCATTACCACTGGCCTACCACTCCCTAAAAATTTAATTGTTATAAAAAAATATTATTATAAAAAAATCCATATGCCGGAAACTTGTTGAGAAACTGCCATGCCAGACCCGATCAAAAGCCTTCGAAATATCGAGAGAGATGGTGAGTGGCTCACCGTGTATTTCAATGGCTTCACCTCAAGTATGTGTAGCATACACTAGAAGATCTCTAGTAGATCGGCTTTTCCGAAAGCCGTACTGGTGGTCGGACAGGAGATCATTTGTACGTAAAATAACTTGGAACAGGCTGTTCCGAATAGCGCAAGAGCTCATGCGACGGTCTCGGCTAGGTAAAATGACGTCACACTCGAGTGAGAGACCGCAATCGTTGTGTGTTAATACTTAAGCTTAAATAATTAATTTCTCAATAATTTAATGCTAGATTTCAAAAAAACTATGATTTGTAAGTTTTAATTTATATATATTTTAATTTCATTGCATTAAATATGATATTAAACATCGCTAAACTTCTCCATTAGACGGATTGACTCGTCTGTGCCAGTTTTTACACGGTAAAATGCCTTATTTAATCTTAATAGGGCAACATTGCTTAGTTTTTGTAAATTGTAATGTGTCTGTCGCTTTCGTTTCGGATTTTGATACTCCTTGGGGCGGCCATTTGTAACAGCCACAGCTGTAATTCATATTATTAATGTCGTGTATTCTGCCTATAGTCCAATTAAGTTTTTATGTAAATATTTCTTAAAATAAATTCATCATGGTTGAAAAGGGAGAAATAAAGGTATGTATACTATGATAGTCACATTAAAAAATATATAAAAAACTTCCATTGTTTCAACCTTGTCGGTTGGTCGATATTTTTTATACGTGTTTTGCATAAACGTGTCCTTTTATTGAACATCATTATTTGTTAATTATATTTGGCTTTCTTTATTTTAATAAGTTTACTTAACATAAATTTTTACTCTTCGTTACATATCAAGTTTAGTTTTGTCGAAGTAGTTTATTTTCTATAATAACAATAATTTTCTGTTATCGTAGTAATTTTGAACTTTGTCTTTATTTCCTTATTATAATTACTAATGCTATAAAGAAATGTTGATAAATTATTTGTTTTACCACGCATATATAAGTATATTTATTTAATAAAGAAACTTGGCAAGAAAACTAACACATTATTTCAATTGATAATATTGAACGTATTTTTATTTTTTCACTAAAATATACAAACTTTACAGTGCATTTGTATTATGTACTTTGGTACATGTTATTTTATTACTCATTTTGTGAGAAAAAGATTTATAAATAATAATTTACTTAGCTTACCTTCAAACTTGAGATTGAATATTCTTGTGATTGTTCTAACAAGGTCTTTACCTTAGGTCAGATACATGCTTAATATTCAACTCGCATTAATAACATTTTGTATTGAAATATTTATGTTAAAGTATATACAGAAAGAAAGTAGATTTCAAAAATATAATACAATTTCTTTACGTGTGGGTACATGCTAATTTACTGAGATCTGTAATAATTTGCATATTAACTGAAAAATTACATTTTTCACAATTTAGAAAAAGATAAAAATGTAAAATAATAAATTTATTTCTATGGTAAAAATATATAAGTAATAACTATGATATTGACATTTTATTAAAGTGCTAATAATGCATTTTAAATGATTATTACAATATTATAAATCATTAATTAGATAGTAATTAGTTATTAGTAAAAAATGTTTACTGTTACAAATGTCATTCAATGTAAATAGATTAATTTGATAATGAATAAAAGTAAAAGATTTTAATGTCCAAAGGTTTTTCACTTCAATATTTTAATAGCAATTTTTTAAGTAGTAAATAATAATCTTGTAACTCTTTTGAATTTGCTCTGGTGGGTGGCTCAGTAGATGCTTTTTATAATTTTTACAAAAACCATTGATTTTTCTTAATATATAAAATATGGGACATGTCTATTAGCGAATGAAATAATCAACAGGGAATAAAATATTTATCTTTTAGTGACTGACCAGTGCTACTTTTTGGCAAATTTTATTACTAACATGACCTTGAGTATTAGTTCTGGTCATAGTCCATCCTGTGTACTTTATTTTATCTAAATCCATCTAGCTGTTTCAGTTTGAAAGTAACAAATACATACAAAATTTCACATTAATTATTCTAGAAGTGTAATTGTATATGTTTCTCAGATGTGTAATATTTCTTTTCAATATTAACAGCCAGAAACATTGCTGAATTTAGATGACTTATTACAATGTCCTGTGTGCTATGAGATACCATCAGGACAAATATTTCAATGCAATGAAGGTCATCATGTTTGCGGCAGATGCAAAATGCGTTTGGATGTGTGCCCTGTCTGTCGTGCCCTTTTCTTTGGTACACGCAATTATGCCATGGAAGAATTAATCGCAAATTTTAGAAAACTGCGTGCCTTTGTAAGTCCTAATTATCAAATTATGTTAAATATTTGTAAAAGATGAATTTTCTAAAATAATATCTACATCTCTACATATTGTAATGTTTTAGAAATTGGGCACCAAAAGTCAAACAGGCTCAGGCTCTTCAGAAAGCACCACTCCGGCTAGAGAAATTGCCTCAGGGGAATGTGAAAATGACAACAATGAAGATGATGAAGAAAATAATCCTAATATTGTGAATGTATGTATCTGTATATTTTTTATTTTACATATATCAATTGATATAAAAGTTTTTAAATATTATTTAATTTTACAGCAACCTACTCAAGGTCCACCACAAGCATGTAAAGGTCTGTTTCGTTGTCTATGTTGTAAAAATGGCAATGGAGAAAGGTTACCAGCTGCTAGATTACTCAACCATCTTCGTTATTTTCATGCTCCAGATCTGCTCGAGGTAAATGTTTATTTTTTATGGGGATATGTTCACCCTCAGCATTTATATTGGCCCATTGGGAGCATGCTTGCTTTGTAAATAGTTTGAAACTTGAAAGTGAGGATTAAATAATATACAAACTCTTAGTTTCTCACCTTTGACAATCATTTTCAAAATATGGAATAAATTCTTGGCTGTATGGCGCGCGAATGCTGCATTTAAAAGGAACCTTACGAAAAATATATGAAGGTCTCTAATACCCGCATTTAGCTACCATGGTGGACATTGGCCTAAACACCCCTTGCACTGTGGCTCTTGCTTAGCATACATCCAACATTGCTTTAGTTAGGTAAATAAAATGTGTCATAATTTATTTGTTATTCTCTAGTTATTACAACTCTTAGAAGTGATCTATATCATGTATACATTTTTGCCTCATGTTTTTAGTCAAATAAACCTCTTAACTCACATTCCACAATAATCATTTAATTAAAATAACACAGCTTGGATACAAATATATATTTTAGATGATTATCACACTGGTCTCCCCTAAGTTACTTACCTTGCATTTGTGTTTATAAGTAAATGATTTGGACAGCAATGACTATACATGTCTAAAAAATAAAGAACTAACAGAAAAGCTATCATGCTATAATCAATATTTAATGGACAAAACATTGCAGTCACTTTTCTGGTCTTTATTTAAATATATATAGTATTATGGTATATTATAGTATTGTATATTATATTATGGTACTAGCGACTCACTCGCTTCGCTCAGGTTCGTCCATAGGTATGTTTTAACAGTTAGTATAAAATACAAATCTTTGAATTTCTTGGCTGTTTTGTACTAAAATATGCATGAATTATTCATATAAACGTTCCTCTTGAATCACACTATCTTTTTCTGAAAACTGCATTAAAATCCGTTTAGTAGTTTAAAAGATCTAAGCGAATAGACAGAGGAAGCGACTTCATTTTATACTATGTAAAGTTATTATAGTATACCATACTATGCAAATTGTATGATAGTCTCAAAATATAAATTCAATGTTTAACACAGAAATATAACTTAACTCGTAACTTTAATGTTGGTTGTGTATATAATTTATCCCAAATAATTATTTATCACCCACCATAAATTACGTAATTTTAGGGTCGGTCTGAAAATGGCGAGTATTTACAAGCTTGGCAGTTTTCTACAACGCCTGGCAAAATTGTGACGGCGGTGAGAATAGCTGACATGGGCATATTCTTTTTGACTATTGAATTAAATAGTAAGTACTGAACCTATATAAGTTTTCATTGATTTAATTAAGTGTATTTAAATTTCTACTTCTAATATTTAATTATATATATGCAGTAGAGATGTACCAACTAAGTGACTGACTAGTTGGAAAAGACGACTATCCGGCCATAATTTGTATTTTACTACAATTTGCAATATAGTCTAGGAATAGAAATGAAGAAAGGAATAGATTACTTAGTACTTATATAACTAAGATAAGCAAAAAAATTAATTTTGACTGTAAGTTTCTGCAACTCTAAATAAAGAACATAATTATGTAATTTCTGTTTTATTATTTATTTTTGAATCACAGTTTCAAACACTATGTATTCATTATTAAAAGAAATATAGCATAGAGGCTGGAGCCGACTAGTAGGCCGATTAGTAGGACTTTTCCAATCGACCAGTCGGCTAGTCAGTTAGTCGGCAAAACTCATAGTCGGCCCATCTCTATGTAAGTTCTATAAAATTATATAGCATGTTGTTGGCTGTCTAACATTCCAAATTTTTGCTCAAATAATATGCTAAGTACTATGGTTACTGATATAAGTTATAAAAAATGTCCATCTCTAAAATATAGTAATGTCTGTTTATATATTTGAATGTTTTTAAGTAACTAAAAATAAAGTATTTCATATATTGATTGTATTTCTTATAGATGATGCTGTGTGTGCGTGGCTGACTATGGCCGCCTCACCATGGGTAGCTCACGCGTTTCATTATACAGTTACCATTTGTGGTAATGACCGTGAAGCAATTTTCTCAGATTGTGTAAGTACTGATTAGACTAACAAGTGATTGTGTGAAATCCATTTGATTTGATTAATACAATATTTATTTATCTATAACACTTTATTGCACACTTATTGAAAATAGTACATTAACATAAAAAAAATACAATTAAATAGATGTGCAAAGGCGGCCTTATCACTAAAACTGATCTACAAAAATATATTATAATGTTGCTTTCTTTAATTTAGGTATGGTCTGTAAGGTCTTGTGAAGGCTCCTTAAAGAAACGTGGTCACTGTTTGGTTGTTAAAGAAATGGATGCACGAGCGTTGATGGCACCCGCAATAATCAGCGGCAAGCTGTCCGTGCGACGCACCCCGCCCGACCAGCTCACTACCCAGACGCAGCCGCGAGCGATCCTCAGGATCGCGAATAGAGGCAACAACAACATGCCACGAGTTCTGGAGCCTTCCTTCCTTGAAGATTTACAAAACGATGTGGAAAGACTGTCCAGAGCATTCGAATCTCTGGGCCGAGAAACAAACGCCTTGGTAGTACGCACAGAAGCACTAGGGCATGCGAGAAACGAACAAGAGACAGAACAGGCTCATAATGAAGAACCTGTGGAGGAGCCTCAGCCAGCGGAGGAGATGCTTAATTACCTCTCGCGGAATGCGCGCAGGCGCATGCGCGCCAGAGTGCGCGCGGCTCTAAGCGAGCTCGTGCCACCAACGGCGCCCCCCGTGCCGGCTCCTGCGCCTGCCCCTGCGCCGGCCTCCGCGCCGACACCCGCGCAGGCCCCCGTGCACGGTCAGAATAGAGGGTGGAACTTCGGCGAGCACAGACACTCCTTCCCCGCGCTCCGACCTCCCCCTTCCCTCGCAGAGGAGCCGGTGAGGCCCACCGTGTCGCCTCCCGTTCCTCCCTCCTCCTCCTCCAATGGACCCCCTCAGGCACAACCACAAGCGGGCAATCGTCCTCGCAACAAGAAAAAGCGCCGCCATCGCAGATAAGCGAGAGTTACATTTTAGTGTATTCGATAAGTACATAATTGAGAATCATTATGTAATGTTATTTGTTACTATGTGTTAGTGACTCGACTGATACCTCTGGGGTTCTCCTATTATGCATGAACTGTTTTGTTTATTGTAAATATTCTCCGTCTTTTGACAACGCAATCTTTGCTAGTGCTGTGATAAATAATGTGTGCTGAGTTCATGCAACATACAGTTATGATGCTACTTCAATATTTCATTGTTTGAAATATCCCCAGAGTGAGTATTTGTGATTTAGGAAACACGTATATAAATGAATTGTTATGAATTTAGTTATATATTTCATGAATAATGATTAAATACAAGCATTTGTATTATTTTAATAGAATTACGACCCGTAAGGCATGCATTGTCACCTTATTAGTAATGAAATGGAATAGACCATTAGAGTAATAAATATAGATCTGCTTGTTTATGATCATTGTAATCACTAATTCTGATGTAGAATTATTACGTTTACTAAGGTGTTAATCATTTTAATAACAAATAGTGTTAAATACAATAAGGAATTACAAAAATAGTACTTTTATTTTCCTTTCATTATTTCTTATAACTTATGTTAGTGCTAACTTATAGACTACGAGCAGGTATGCCGTATGGCAAGATTTAGTTTGATTGTGGCGTTACACGTTAAAAATTGTTATCAATGTATGAAAAATATCAACAGCAATATTAGTGTTATGGGAGTATTTTAGAAGAAGGTTAATATAATATATAATTCACGTAAGTGAATAACGAATTTCATTAAATTAAAACAAGACATTGTTTTATCCCATCCTTTATCCACTCAATAGGAAACATAATTATTATTAAAGTGTACCGATCACATTCTGTGACGTATTTTAAAATTTAAACCTATTTTCAACCGACTTCAAAAAGGAGGAGGTTCTCAATTCGACTGTATGTTTTTTTTTTTTTTTTTTATGTTTGTTACCTCAGAACTCCGTCATTTATTAACCGATTTGGACAATTTTTGTTTTGTTTGAAAGGGTATACTTCCAGATTGGTCCCATTTAAATTTCAAAAAAAAATACCACCCCTAAGGGTGGAAAAACAACTAATGATGAATTTAACCTACTTCTAATTGTCATATTGACTTGAAACTTTGCAAGTATTTCTATTTCCATTGATAGTACAGTGGTTCGGTGTTGTTGACCTGATCTGATGGCAAGGCCAGAAGGTGGATAGGTGGAACTCTTCAACGGCTAATAGTACATACTTTGAGTTTGGGCTTATTTTGTGTGATTTGACAAGCCTAACACGTTAGAATTCTTACTTTGCTACTACTGTCTACACTAAAAAGGGAAAAATAAAAACTTTTTAACAAAAAAATAAAAACCGACTTCAAAGAAAAGCACTAAAAAGTAAAAAATACCTGATTGGTAGTTTTCATTTACTATACATACCTAATCAAATATTTTCGAAGTCGGTGTGCTTTGGCTAAGTAATTAAAGCCTACCTATTAAATACATACCTAATCAAATATTTTCGAAATCGGTGCCAGCCCATACAAAGCGAAGCACACCGACTTCGAAAATATTTGATTAGGTATGTATAGTAAATGAAAACTACCAATCAGGTATTTTTTACTTTTTAGTGCTTTTCTTTGAAGTCGGTTTTTATTTTTTTGTTAAAAAGTTTTTATTATTATAAGTTTGATGTGTCTGTGTGTCTGTTTGTGGTATCGTAACTTCAAACGAAGGCGCCGATTTTGATGTGGTTTTTTTGTTTGAAAGCTGACGTGATCGAGTTGGTTCTTAGCTTAATTTATGAAGATCTGTTCAGGCGTTTGATCATCAGCTTATTTCCTACTTGACAAAATGGTCTTACTAACTTTCACAGATCCGATTGATTTGAAATTTGGTGTACTGTTGCTTCGGTGGTATTTCCAAGATATACCTACTAAAGCGTGAGCTGTTGCTGTAGCATAAAATAATCTGTGGTATCCTTAATTCATCAGAAACTTGCAGCAGATATAGCATGTTTGGGCTCATAAAAATAACCTCAATGAGAGTTATTTATTAGAATCCACGAATAATTTAAAAAAATAAAAAAAAAAAAAATTAAAAATTCAAAAACCCACGATGGAAAATTGTAATAATGAAAATAATTTGAAAAACTCATGTCATTCCGCCATTGTAGGACAACTTACATTATACTCATAGTAGTACCTGGGCCACCGAGGCTTCGCTCAGAGTTTTTGGTTAGAAAGTACAATTTTCTATAAAAACTAAAAACTTGAATAAATACAAAAAAATAAATATACCTTTGTATCCGACCAGGATTCGAACCCGGATACCTATGATTGTCAATCTTGCGTCTTTTAAAAAAAAAAGAAAACTAAAAACTTGAATAAATATTAAAAAATATATAAGTAAAAACTTAGTATGCGACCGAGATTCGAACCTGGACACCTGTGATTGTTGATCTTGCACCTTGGCCGCTTGACCACGATGCTTATTCCCGAGCGTGCAAATTACCGACCATATTTTGCGTGGAATAGCAAAAGAAAACTGCATGAAAACTCGAAAACACGCGTTTCCTCAGACATAAGACTAATCTAGATCGATTTATCGCCCCCGAAACTCCCATATACTAAATTTCATGAAAATCTTTGGAGCCGTTTCCGAGATTCAGATTATATTATTATAGTGTATATATATATATATATATATATATACACACATATAATCTACAACACATACATAACAAGATTGCTCGTTAAAATATATAAGATTCTATACTAGCGACTCACTTTCGCTTCGCTCGGGTTCGTCCCTAGCTTGGTTCCCGATACAAACTTTCATCCCCATTTTCACTCCCTTAAGGGATGATTTTCGGGATAAAAAGCATCCTACGTCCTTTCCAGGGTCTCAAACTATCTTCTTACCGAATTTCATCTAAATTGGTTCAGTAGATCCAGAGATTACCCCCTACAACGCTTTATTGTCGGGATTTTGTAAATTTTTATTTGAAGTTTTTTTCATGTTACAATTTTCCGTCGTGGCTTTTTAAAATTTTAATTAATAACACCTTTTTTTTTCTTCAGTAGTAAAAAAACCGTTTTGGGTAAACATGTGTATACTGTAGCGCCCCCTGGCAGTCTGTAACATTATAAAACTTAGCTAAGAACATACTCAAGAATGAGATTCATACAAAGTAAAAACCGTTTCAAAATCGGCCTATAAGCCGTTTCCGAGAAAACAGACACACACCTCTTACCTCAAACCATTATCACGGTAATGCTATAATAATACATATAAACATTACCGTGGCAATATGCCGTCCCCGTGGCAGTCGCGGGTAAAAAGTAGAAAAAAAGTTTATCTCATGGCCTTTTAGCTTCACTAAAAGTACCTATTAATATTTTGTTGATGAGCGTCGCCACATCGGAGGACTATTTTATAAAAGTAAATAATGAAGACTGGTTTGCATACTCGAAACATTCTTCCGATTTTCCACAGAATCTACTATTCTAAAATTATAGTAAACAATAACAAATATATAAAAAATAATATAACTGGTCACAAGTGTGTCGAACCCGCTTTGGTGAATCACTATTTAATATTATCAGGTTTTATTTTTTACATTTTTATATATAAACTAGCATTGCCCGCGGCTCGGTCCGTGTTCAGATGACAAAAACCAAATTCTTAGGTTTTATACGTACATATTAGTATAATCTTCCATTGCAGTTTTTGTATTTTTTCTCAAAAATGAAATATTTTCCCGCGGTAAAAAGTCTCCCTATATGTTGACCCGGATAACCAGCTATCACCATACCAAATTTCATCAAAATCCCTCCATTGGTTTTTCTGTGATGTGGTAACAGACAGAAAAACAGACAAAAATTCTAAAAACTATTTATTCGGCCTCTGTATCGATAATAATGTCTATTTCAATAAGATTTAAAAAAAAATATTTAATGTACAGATTCGGCTTAGTTACAATTTTATTATATGTACCTATAGGTATATATAGATATTAAAGGTTATTTTTATATTAAGAATTTCTAAAATAAAACATTCTTGTTCAAAAATGTGATCAGCAATATGGATTACGAATATATAATAAAAATTAAAACCACCCAAATATTAACTAATTTATAAAATAAAGTAAAAGTAAAGGTATTATTATGTGTTTGTTGTGAATTTCTATCATATCCTATTTTCATAGACACCATTAACTAATAATCTGTGATGTTTCCTATTGGCTAATTTTAACAAAATATGAGAACTCCTTTGTTACTTGTACAAATGTCACATCGCTATTGGTAAAAATACCAACTAACATAATACTTTCAAGAATAACTACTAGATGGCGCTACTAGAAATTTTCTTGCTAACTTCTCAATACTAGATGGCGTTTTATGAACATGAACTTCTAGAAATTGTATAAACATATTTATGTTGAAATCGTAAATACTACGAATTGGCGTATTGAATACGTCCGTTTTAAATACTGATATGTCTTATCTATCATGTGTTGTTCTCGTAGTTGCAAATATTAATTAAAATAATTTATAACGGTGTAGTGTATTAAATAATTATATGTATTTTTTTTATAGATATACACGTATCACAACATACACTTTAAGAGCAAATAATAAAGTATCAATCAGAAGGAATTAAAATGTATAAAAGTGTTATTTTAGACGTTTTTTAAAAATCGTTTAGAGTTTTCGCAACCTTAACATTTCGAGGAAGGGAGTTCCCAAAGTAGTTGCTATATAGCGTATAGATTTCCTCAATAAACGGGCTATCGTATGCAAAATGAATTTTTCAAATCGGATTAGAAGTCCTGAGATTAACGCGTCCAAACAAACAAACTCTGCCTCTTTATAATATTAGTTTAGATAATGATGATTTTCATTATTTTATTTAGTTAGTTCAACCATTTCCGCCGCGGCTCCCACTTTAGACGCCGTCCCACTAGACTGCCAGGGGATGGGGCCA